ATCAGAATCCTCTGAGATAGTTATGTCTCCGAGATGGACGTATCTTCAAAGATAGAGTGATGACAGACTCTCACACCTTCTCCATTTTATCTGACCCTCTTGGAATAGTATGTATATATGCTATATGGATCTCTTGGACTTGGAGTATTGACAATTCTTTGTCAATGTGTTCAGTACTGAGTGTGTTGGCTCTTGACATTTCAATTACAGTAACATCTCCCAGCAGACTTTTTGTCTTTACACAACAGAGATTGCTGACTCCCAGGCACATTTCATTCACAAAAATAGTTTCCCAAATGCAAATCAAAACTACAATGAGATACCATCTCACACCAGTGAGAATGGCACATATTAAAAAAACTAGCAACAACAAATGTTGGCGAGGATGTGGAGAAAAAAGAATTCTCCTGCACTACTGGTGGGAGTGCAAACTGGTCCAACCACTATAGAAAGCTGTGTGGAGATTCCTCAACCTACTAAAGATAGAGCTCCTATATGATCCAGCAATTCCACTCCTAGGTATTTACCCAAAGGACACAGAAACATCAATTCCAAAGAGCACCTGCACCCCTATGTTTATAGCAGCACTATTTACAATAGCTAAGCTTTGGAAACAACCCAAATGCCCAAATATAGATGACTGGATCAAGAAGATGTGGTACATATACACCATGGAATATTACTCAGCAATCAAAAAAGATAAACACATGCAATTTGCAGCAACATGGATGGAGCTGGAAGGGATCATGCTCAGCGAAATAAGCCAAAAAGAAAAAGAAAAATACCGGATGGTCTCACTCATAGCAGGAATCTAGAAAACCTATATAAGGGACCAGGAAAAAGGATAACTATAAGAAAGAAAAAATCCAAATCAACAAACAACTATGAACCAGAGACACTCTATGGGGGGAGGGTGGAGAAAGGAGGGATTGGGGTCAAAATAAGGGGGTTGAAATTGTATGGGGAATATAAAAATAAAATTAAAAAAAATAGTTTCCCATTCTGAAGTATTACATTTTGCATGTTCAGTTTCTTCTGAGAGCCTCAAAGGCATAAATGTCAATCCCAGTAGTTTTATTTATAAAAGTACTTCAGATTGGAAATGAGTTTATCAACACAATACATTGATATAAAATGGGTCATCATTATATGTTCGTTATGTAACTACATGACTGAGGAGTCTCCATGGACACTGAGCTATTAAAGGGTGCATGCTCTGAAAGAGGTCTGGCCATGCATGTGCACAAAAGCAGACTTCTAGCGTGAAAGACTTTTTAATAGAATTGGTGTGCATAGAAAGAGAGAGAAAGGATTTCAAATAATTGCTTCCCAAACTCCAAAAATTACCCATTACTTCATGGGCAAACACCCAGCCAAACGGGCTTAGGCCAAAGTGGGGGGAGGGCTGAGGCCTGACAGCTTGCCACAAATCTAAGGTGACTTCTGGTGAGGTACCACAAGAAAGAGGTTGGGTAGGTCCCAGTAAGCTGGGACAGAAGGAAAGACCTAAAATTCAAAAATGTATCACATAATACACCATGAGGTCAATGGCTGGAATTGTCTCTGCCAAAACACTGAAGCCCCAGTAACAGCTTCGTCACATGTCTCCAGGTGTCTCTTCAGAGTGTCTCCTCCAGGTGACCGTGCTTCACATATCCCTTGTGTGTCTCTCCCTTCCTCCTTCATTCCACTTCCATTTATATATCCATCTTGTTCCTTCCCGGCTGCAATCCCAATCAGTGGGTCTTGCTCATGGCTTGCTGGGACTTAAACTGGTGCCCATTCACAGTGCTGCAATGTTCCTCCCCCTTCCATGGACATACATATGTAATACTTATAGGTACACGGGAGAGGGGAAATAGGACTAAAAATGAGGATGCAAAAGTCTTAGTTTTTCAAGTTTTTTAAGGTGTGATAGGTCATATTTGTGACTTGCTCCTTAGAAACATCCTGATGTCAGAAAAGGTGTGTGTAGGAAATTAGTACCTGGCTCCTGTTAACTTCCTCTTCCTCCCATAAAAGAGCAACATGGGGAAAATTTCATAGAAGAAAACCCACACTTTGAAGAAAATATGGGACCTGCTGCAATGTTTTCAAATGTTAGAAAACTCATGTTGTTTTGGGTAGATCAAGAAATTACTGGGTAATTTTATTGAAAAATTAGGGCAGTCACTATTTAGCTGCTTTAGGGCAACAAAAGTGAGTAATACCATATATTTAGAGAAAGGATGACAGCATAATTCAGGTTCTTACAGCGGGTTCATCTCTCATTCAGAGATACTGTTTAGCTGAGTTCCTTATCTCAGTGCAGCAGAGAACAGATCCCTGAAGATTATATGGTTTTATATTTATGAAAAAGGCTGATTGGAGATTCTTTTCTTTTAAATACTTAAGACTTTTAAAAAACATTTAAGACTTTAAAAAAATTTTTTTTTAATTTTATTTTTGTGTAGAACAACTGTGGTGTAGGTCAGAGGTGCAGAGGATTCACCAGAGACAGAGTGGGGAGCAGAGCAGGTGGATCTACTGAAATACACTGCTGAGGGGAGCAGCGGGCAAGACAGGAGAGATCTGTGCCCTATGGGTCAGCTCCCTGGCATGGGATCCAGGGATCCTTTGCCATGATAGTGTGAGACTTAACCACCTGATTGGTGATCTTAACAGGAGACCCCTTTTCAATAAGTACAATGCCCATAAGAAGATTTTGTGAAAAATTCATGCTCACAAATTGTCACATTTAAAAATATGATTTCTCAGGGCCTCCTCGGTGGCACAGTGGTTGAGCGCTGGGTTGTGAAGCTGCCCACAGCCTCTGCAGTGCCGGTTCGATCCCTGGCCGCGGGGTGAGGGTCCTACATGGCGTACAGACCTCTCCTGCCGCCCGCTGCTCCCCTCAGCAGTGTACGTCGGTCCTTCTACCTGTTCTGCTCTCCCCTCTGGTTCTGGTGAATTCTCTTACCCTCCCGCACTTCTGACTGTACCCTGTGCTTGTATAAATAAATAAATTAATTTAAAAAAGAAATAAAAATATGATTTTTCATATTCTTCTAGACTTGACTCTAAAACTCTTTCTTTTGGGAGATTCCCCTATGGCATGACAAAATCCAAAGAGCACCATTTACATGGCAATTGATGTGGCAGGCTATTCAAATCTCTACATCCTCATGTCCTGGTACCCCATCATTTGTTTTAATTTTTTCATTTTATTCTTGATTCCTTCTCTAGTCTTTGATGTTGACAATTTAATCAACAGTGCAGTTAGAAGCCATGTGGTGATTAAAGAAGCCATGTGGTGGATATTTATTGGTCGTTTGCCCAGCATCCACTACCCCTTCCTCCTGACAATATTATTTCTTATAAGAAACTTCAAACTTCTTGACTTTCAGCCAAGTTTTATAGGCAGCACTGACACCTACCCCTACTCCAGGGTGGAATGTAATGGTGATAGGAATAAGTCAATTATTCTTCCCCCAGGCTTCAAAGATCCATTCAGGGATGGATGGATAACCCAATCAAAGTTCATTTGATGGAAGAAGATATTTGCTAGCTTCTCCACTTCTAGAAGTTAGGTATTTACTAGCTTCTCCACCAGAGACAATTCACTCCTTTTTGCTACATTAGAAAAGGCACTAGGGAATAAACAAAATAAATCTCTGTCCTCATGGAGCACACATTCTAGTAGGAGAAAGTAGGCAGTAAACTTGATACATTAATGTTTAGAACCAAGGAGAAAGGTAAAAGAAAAAAAAATAGGTGAAGGGGGCCTCCCCGGTAGTGCAGCAGTTCTTGTATGCATAAATAAATCTTTAAAAAAAATAGGTAAAGGGCTTAAAGAAGTAATAGTAAGCAAGATCCACATAGAACACTATAGACCAAAATAAAAATGAGAACTTTAACTTTTAGTATTGCCATATACATGTTAGAGACACTTGGGAAGTTTTAGCTGAAGATGAGAGTATTTTTGATGTTATGATAAAGCTTTTTTTTTTTTTTTTTTTTTCAACTATACTAAGCTTGTTCTGTGTGGTTCTGGAGATGAAGAAAATAAAAAGATCTCAGCTGCACGAGTGTAAGGACAGGTATTTGCTACTAAATCCCAGCCTGTGAACTGTGCTTGATATATTTTTTAGCAGATGATGAATGTATGCATGACACATAAAAACCAATGGGTGAAACTTAAGAGAAGCAGATATTTTACTTCACTTATCATTCTAATCATTTGAGTTTTTAAAAAACTAAATGGACTGCCTTGGAGGGCATTGACAGTCTCTACTACTCAGAATGAAACAGGAGCTAAAGGATCCTTATTCAGAGATGTAAAAAACCTGTATTTATTTATTAGATACTGGTTAGATCATGTATCTCTGTGATCCATGAAAAGTGAGATATTCTAGTCCTATAATCCCAAATCCAAAGGTCTCTATACAGAGTTGAGAGAAGTATAAATTTGTGGGTCCCTATGACCTGGCTACTAGCTGGCCGGTCACGGGCAATTGTGACCTATTTGCTATCTACAAATCACAGCAGAGAATTCCTTAACTATCTATGGCACAGCAGAGAATTCCTTGACTATCTATGGAGTATAGCTCGTATCACAAGCAGGCCCAGGGACGCCTAGGCCACTGCTGATCTGATTACATGACTATTTCCATGGTGGCCTCAGGATAACTTGACCTGGGATAACATCAAATGCTTTGCTGATGCAAATGTCTTGATATATGGCCACGATGTCCCCTTCCTTGTTCCTCATAAAACTTTGTCCCCCATTCCTATCCCACCTTCCAGACCCTATTCCTCATACCGTTGTCACATGATCAGCTTTTACCAGCCTGTATGCTTTCAATAAATGGCACAAGAACTTCTGGCACAAGTAGCAGAGTCTTGCCTTGAAAACCTGCTCTACTGCCTGTCTCTCTTGGGTTCCTACTACAAAGTGGCAACAAAGTTTCTGTCCCAACATAAACTTATGATCTCAGAGAAATCCTCAAGAGGCATATGTTCAATGGCATGTTTATTAAACAAATGCTCACGACAGATTTTCACAACAGCAACAAATGTTATTACACTACATCAAATCTCCCTCGGTAAGGAAAAAAGACAATCACAATAGGTTGATGATGGATTTGGATGATTTTTTTCCTGGTTTTTTTTTTTTTTTTTTTTTTTTGGGTGGGGGTGAAACCACTTGTCTTCCTCACTCATCCTCCTTTTCTTCCTCTACTTTCTCTTTTTCAGAATTTTCCAATTTCATTTTCTTCACTGCCATTCTGGCTCTGTGCCCACGGAAGGCTGCTTGGATTGTGATAGCAGCATTCTCTTTTTCTGTATCTTCAGAAGACTATTTCATGTAAAGGAGAAAAAGCAAGAAACTTCTTACACCATATTCTGACATCATAAAAATTAGTGCATGAATTTAATCAGTTTAGGGATGAAGAAATTGTGATTTGGGAAGCAACTGTTGCTTCCCAAAGGAATTTTATATACTGTCATGTTATATGTGAACCCAGCGGTGAGTGCCAAAATAGCAAGCATTTTGTTTTGCCTTACCTTAATATTTTTGTAATAAAAGCTCATTGCCAATTTCTTCCCCTCCCTCAAAATAGCTCTTATTTAAGTTTTCTGGGCAATAACATTTTTTTTTTGTGGGGGGAAATAATTAAGAGTCCTTAACACATGGTAAAATGTCAAGAAGAAAAGTAAATGTGCTGTTTCAAAATAATCATGATTACATAAAATTGATAAAAGTGTTAACTTCTTAATTTCTCAGTGATTAATCAAAATCATACATTTAGATAGCCAAAAAGAAATACATTTAGTCCAAGAGTTTGAGCTTTAACATCATTAGTTGAACTTTCATATATAGCTTTTTTCACAAAAAAATTTTGGCATAATTTACAGTGAAATGTACAGATGTTAAGTGCATAATTCAAGAAATACATAACTTTTAATATATCTTATAAAATTATAAAAATGATATGTAATATTTAAACACTTATGTATCACTGATAATGAAAGGATTTTCTCTCTCAAATCCTACTTCTAAGAGATAACTATTATTATGGCCTGAGTATATCTAGCTTTCCAAATATTCTATTTTTTTTTTATTTTAAAAAGTGATATCATGTTAACAACATTCTGCAGTCAGTTTTCCCATTAACTTTTTCTATTAACTGTGGTTGTCTTTCACTACGTTATTATTCAGTAAATAACTGTCCAGTTATTTTTTTATGTTATTGTTGTTTATGTTATTATGTTATTTATATACATTGTATCCATTGTACCAATGCATTTAAATTTATTTACTCATTCTCTTATTGATGGACCTTTGGGGTGTCCAAGCCCTATTTTCTCCATTACAAATGATGAGGCTCTTACACTTTTAAATGCAAACAGAATGGTATAAAATTCTCTGAGATGATGTCTCAACATGGGCAAATGAATTATGTTGAAGTCAGAAATCAATGGACTCTCAATTCAAATGTATGAAAGCCTGTGTGGAGGTGTGTATGAGGTGGAAGGACACTCTTTCCTCTTCTCGGATGTCCCATTGTCTCTTACACCATTAGGCTGATTGAGTTGTATTGATATAATTCTGGAAGAACTTATAAGGGCTATAAAGGGAAATTTATAAAGGGGAAAGTGATGGCCCACCCTGTAGGAAATTAAGTATTCCTTGGGGAATGTCCATTTTGGGTGCTAATTATTGGGTAATTAACTAGGACATTAAGCCATGGAAAGGAACTAAAAAATCTGGCTTTCAACATGTGGACAGTTCTTTCTCACTAGGATTGGTCCTCTTTAGTCTAGACTATGAAGGATATAGATGGTGACATGCTGGTAAATGATTAACATGTGTTCAGCAATGTCAGGTGAAATGTTCAACTGTTTTTCCTGAATCTCCAGAAAAAAAAGTCTTCATTTGTAATATTTGCCACAGTCTTAAAATATTCCCACTGTGGTTTATTTCAAGCTATCAAAATGACATGACTGAATATAGGGCTGTGTAGAGATGTGCACAATCATTTCTTGAGAGCTGGTTTAGCATATCATTTAACATAGGTTATCTCAGAGGGTGGACCTAGGTATTTATTGATTTGATGTAGGTTGTTAGCTAGGAAGTCATTTTTGTAGAGGATAGTTCATGGAAGGTGAGTAAGACAACATAGTATAAAGCCATTTTATTTGGTTGTGTGTAATTAATTCCCTGTGAGTTTCCTTTTTTAATCTCTGAATCATTGTCATTGTGTGGCAGTGATAGCATCAATTAGTGAAAATCCCCAAAATGGAAGATGAACTGAATTCTGTCTGTTTTTCCATTCACTGACAGATCTGGAAAAATGAGATCTTATGGTCAAAGGGAAGATGAGTTTTCCTTTTTAAGAGGCATGGCTAAAAATGATCCATCATGCTAGTTATTTAGGAAAAAAATCACAATTTTAGCAATATTAAAAACAGAGTAGAGGTATATTTGGAGTAAAATTTTAAATCTAGTAATGTCATTTTTTGAAGGAATCCAATATAACTTACTAATTTTGTGATGGGTGTCTCCTGTTTCACAGACTTTTCTTTTTCAGGTTCATATTTCTCAGGTGGCTCTTGCTCCTGGGGAGAAGAAAGAGAACCAAAGAGGCAGTGTTTCCAAAATTGTGAAGTCTTGGATCATTTGAGTTATTAGAGGTAACGGGAATGAGGTACATACTGACCTTTTAACAAGGAAAGTTGGAAAAGAAAGAAAAACTCTCAAGGGTATATGCATGAACAAATATTAAAGACCAGGAAGTGGTAAAAATGTTTAATCTTTTGCTTTTGGAATGTGTGTGCCATTATTTAATATTAAAAATAAACCAGCTCTCTCTGCCATCTTTGCATGCCACCAAATGGTGTGCATGAATGTCCTGGCTGACACTCTTAAGAGCATGAACCCACTCTTAAGCACAAATGCCAAAGTCATCATCTGTTTTTTTAACAGTGATGATGAGGCATGGTTATGTTGGCAAGTTTAAAATCATTAATGATCACAGAACAGGGAAAATTGTTGTGAACCTCAGAGGCAGGTTAAACAAGTATAAAGTGATTAGTCCCAGATTTGATGTACAATGCAAAGATCTAGAAAAATGGTAGAAACACCTGCTCTGTCAGTTTGGTTTCATTGTACTGACACCTCAGCTGGGATCATGGGTCATGAAGAAGCAAGAGGAAAACACACAGGAGGGAAAATTCTGGGATTATTTTTCTAGGGATGTAATAAATATTTGCAAGTAAAATGCCTCAATGGGATAAAAGTTGTCTTATACCAAAAAACTGATAAGATGCTGTATTAAATCTTAAAGTATAAAAAAGAAAGACCAATCAATAGTTTTTGAAATAGGAACAAAATAGATGCCATTGTATTCCACGGTATAAGGTTGACTTCTTAATGAAGTTTGTAGATTAAAAATTAAGCTGAAGAAATAAGTTTTGCTGTGGGTATTGATTTAAATTAAAAAAGGGAAATCTGCTCTGTTTTAAAGTGGTTGTTGAAATATTCCACCAAATAGAGGAATTGCTAATTCAAAACCTATGGGAAGAGCTTCTTTAATCCATAAAACAGAAATGTAAGGACACATAAGGTGATCAAATGAAGGCTTTAGAATTCAAAAGAGAATTAAAAAACACTTTAAAATTACTACATGTAGCTACATGCTACAAGGATTTAAAAGTTTTCAGCATTATTCTCTTGAGTTCAATAAAACATGAATACAAATAAAAAATACAAGTAAGAATTAAATGGAAATAAACTGAACACCCCCATATCTGGCAGACACAAATGGATGGAATTTCACTTTTGAACTCATGAAATAAATGACAGACAGCTATTCCCCAAATATGCTGCAGAACACCATCAAAACTTGAACCGTGTCAATTACTTTTGATTCTAATATCTGCTGGTGCTTTGTGACTAATGTATTATTCTCAGTTGTCTATCGTAGTTCTTCTCAGACTTTAGTGCACCTACAAATTACTTTGGGGACTTTTTAAAATTCAGCATCTGATTTGCAAGCCTGGGATAAGATCTGAGACTTCTGAATTTCTATCAAGCTCTCTGTCAATACCAAAGATGCTGGATCCCACAAAGTCCTTTTAATCAGTGTTCCTCATCTGGCCCACAGAACACAGAATTTTTTAGCATGTATTTTCTCAATTATCCCAAGGATAGTATATAACTAGGACATTTATAGATATAAGGAGAAACACTGATTTCCTACACACATGGGTACCTTTGCCTGGGAATCTTGGTTGATAAAGATCAGTTCTGCAAGTGCTGGTAAAGAGGAAGATAGTTTCAGTGTCTGACGAGATTAGCTTTAAAGAGAAAACTATACCATTACCATTTTTAATTCTAACCAGTCTTTGTAAGATGTTAATGGTAATGAAATAATTAGATGAGTTTTTAAAAAGAAATATTATTCACTAGTTCAGCAAGTATTTGCTGAGTATCTGCTAATGCTGAACACTTTAATACTCAATAAAATCTGAACAATAAATGACAGAGTAATTATTCTACAACTTTCCAGTATATTCTTCTTGTTGATCATCTTTAAAATTAAGCTCAGTGTCTATAAACAATTCAGAAGCTTTAGAAAAGAATTTGTCAAGCTGAACATCACAATTAAAAAGGCTTGATAAGATATTTGTTCTGGGGACATCCCTAGTAGCTATTTTGGAGACAGAGAGTAGAAACAGCTAAATTCAATAGCTTCACAGGACCATACCTTGAATGCATGGTTGTTATAGAAGCGGTCATCTACCTTACTCCCCCATTCTGCTGGATCAAAGTCGGTTTCTAAATAATAAAAATAGTTTCAGATTTATTTTGAGCTCATTGAAGTACATCTAGAATATAACAAAACCAGTTTTCTTTTTCACATCACAGCATCTTTACTGACAGTTGAAACTCTTATTGATGACATATACAGCCTAGCACTGAGACATAACTAGTGGTCATTACATGCATGATTATGAATTATACATTAGATGAGATCTTGGGGATATTTAAAAAGGCAGTAAAAAAAAAAAAACCCTGTAATTTTCACCTTTATAGAACTTATTTAAAAAATGGAAGGGAAGAGAAATGCTTAAATATAAGTATAGAAACATATAAACATGTATTAGGAAACACACAAAATGTAAAAAATGCTAAATAGGAAGGAATCCTGGAAATGTAAAGGATGAGAGAGGGTTTTGTAAAAAAAAAAAAAAAAAAAGAGTCAATTGTTACAGACAGGAAGAAGTATTTATTTATTTATTTATTTATTTATTTATTTATTTATTTATTTATTTATTTATTTGCTTATTTATTTATTTATTTATACAAGCTCTGGGTACAGTCAGAAGTGCTGGAGGGTGAGAGAATTCACCAGAGCCAGAGCAGGGAGCAGAGCAGGCAGAAGGCAGCAGGAGAGGTCTGCGCACCAGGTGGGACCCTCCTCCTGTGGCCTGGGAGCAGCCGGGGATCGAACAGGTGCTGCAGAGGCTGCGGGCAGCTTCGTAACCCAGAGCTCAACTGCTGCGCCACCGGGGAGGCCCAAGGAAGGAGTATTTAAACAGAATTTTTTCCTTAAAGTTTCATTAAGAACTTCGAAAGTAGAGAGAATAATATAATTGATTTTCATGTACATGGTACTCAGATCAACAATTACAAACTCATAATTTATTGTATTTTGTCTGTAACCTCTCACTTTCCCGTCCTTCTGATTACTTTCAGGCCAATACCAGGCACCTATTGTTTTATCTACTATTTACTTCAGAATGCATGTCTAAGGTATAAAATCACAAGTATCATCACACCTCAAAACAGTAACAATTCCTTAAACCATCAACTATCCAAATTTACCCCATTGTCTAAGATATTTTTTATTTATTTATTTTTTGTTGTTTGCTCAAAATACGACCCAAGTAATGGGCACACACAGGCTTTTGGCTCTGTTTTTGAAATCTTTTAAATGTAATTTCCCTATCTCATACCGTGCATTTTTCCCTTGCCATTTACTTGTTGACATAATTAGGTCATTTTTTCCTTTGGAGTTTTCCACAGTTTAGATGTTTCTGATTCCATTCCCATGATTTTTAACAAGTTCCTGTGCCTTTGATTTCCTGTAGACTGGTAGCTAGATTTGATTCAGGTTTAATTTTTTTTCAGGGGGGGCAAATGTACCTTACTTTATAGGTAGTCCAATACAATTCTGTCAGATTAAATAATACTTGGTTATTTCTCATTTTATTATTTTGATGGGTTCATTGATGATGAGTGCTTACATAATTAGGAGTTGCAAAATGTAATTTGGTCATTACTTCTTTATTTCTGGAGTACTCAATAAAGAAAAACAGTCCCTCATCAATTATTTGATTACCCGGAAATACAGTTCTTATAGACAAGGCAGATTAAAATTTTGATTCTTCCATTTAAAAATTTTCAGAATGTTTAGTTCCCCCTAAAATCCTCTCAAGAATAAAAAATTAGTTTTGATTTCAACATTATGATCTTTGAATTTTTAAAAATTGGGTAAGTTTATATCCATTGTATTTATCACTCTTACTGATACTATAATCGTCCAAAATTGGCCCAAGCTGATTCAGGTGCTCAGATGTTCCTGAGTTCTTTGGAAGCAATTCTAGTAATCTTTGAGAGCTTCCTTATTTTCTGGTGAGGCAAGATTATTAGGCTCACTTTTTATGTTTCCTGCCCAGTTAATGGAATTAGTTCTCTAAGAAAACCTGGATCCCTGGAGATAGGAGCTGGTGGTCACAGTCTAGGGAACAGGTGTTCACTGGAATTTAGTTGGCCTTTGGGGCCTTTTGAAAACTATCCAGTAGGAAATACGTCACTCATTTTCAAAAGAGGAACCATATCATGGGGTCACACTGATATTTTCAAATTCAGTTTAGGATTGTAGGATTTTATTACCTTCTTTCATTTTCATATTAGTGTTATTTTTCTTAACAAAAAATCTTATTCCTAATGACAGGATAGTTACTTATTTGCCATGTCCTACACTATATTAAAAACAATTTCAGAACAACAATATTATATACTATTAATGACTGAAAACAATGCAAGATTTTTTTTAACTTCGTTTTATTTCTTGGATATATCTACCAGGAATGTACTGTAAATTACTGTTATAAAGTCATTTGAAATAATTCCTTTTTGCGTAATTATACTATCTTTTGTGTGTTTCACTTTGCTTCTAAATTTTAGAATTTGCTTAATGATTTTAAAATTTAATTCTATTTTAGAACTATGTTAAACATTTATGATTTTGAATTCAAAATATATTCACAGCAGTTTAGCTTCCGGTCCTTCTTCTCCTAGAGGTAAAAGTTTCAAAATATTTATACTTCAACTTAAAAAATGTAACAGTTATGTATACATATTAACAACACTTAGTTAGGTAATTGATGTCATACTAAACACACTCTTCTTCCTAACCTTATTTTTTCACTTAATAGATCCTGAAGATCACTCTATAGCATCATGCAGAGACCTTCTTCATTCTTCTTTTTCACAACTGTATATTATTCTATTGTGTTCTTTAGTTTATTCATTATATCCCCTCTGATGGGTTGTTTCCTCAAATAATGATGCAGTTAAAAGTAAAGTAGTGGGGGGGCCTCCCTGGTGGTGTAAGGGGTTAAGACGCAACCTATGAAGCCATCTGCAGCCTCTGCAGCACCAGCTTGATCCACATGGTGCAGCAGACCTCTCCTGTCTCGCCCTCTCCTGTCTCGCCTGTTAGCAGTGTATTTCAGTCAGTTTGCCTGTTCTGTTCCCCTCTCTGTCTCTGGTGAATTCTCTCATGCCCGCCACCCCACCCACCTCTGGCCTGTACCTCAGCTCTTGTATGCATAAATAAATAAATCTTAAAAAAAAAAGTAAAGTAGTGGAATTTCTGGAACAAGGGGTTAAATACATATAATTTTGATAGATACTGCCAAGACCCCTCCTGCCCCCACCTTGATACCTCCTCTTTGGGGTTGTATCATTTTATATCTTCTCCAGCAGTATCTATGAGTGCTTATTTCACCTCTAGACTTTGGAATAAATTGGTAAATTTTTGACTTTTTGCCAATCTGATAGGAGTGGGAGTTGTGGTTGGTAGTGGTACCCTACGGTAGTTTTGAAATGAGTTTCTATTATTATGAGTTACTTTAAGTATGTTTTCATATGTTAAAGGCCACTTGGATTTACTTTTGTGTGAAATGTTTATCTCTTGCTCATTTTTATATGAGGTTTGCCTTTTTCCTCCACTGTTTTTACAAGCTCTTTATTAGGTTTATTAACTCATTGTGGTATATATTGTAAATATTTTTTCTCAGTTTATCATTTGTAGTTTTATTTTCCTTATGGGGCTCTTTGCCATGTAAAAGTTTACTTTTATGTTGTCAATTTTATCAGTATTTTTGGATTTTAAAGTAACCATAGAGGGCCTCCCCTGGTGGCGCAGCGGTTGAGCACTGGGCTGTGAAGCTGCCCGCAGCCTCCGCAGTGCCGGTTCGATCCCCGGCCGCCGGGCTAGGGTCCCACATGGTGCAACAGACCTCTCCTGCCGCACCTGCTGCTCCCCTCAGCAGTGCATTTTGTCGGTCTGCCTGTTCTGTTCCCACTCTAGCTCTGGTGAATTCTCTCACCCTCCCACACTTCTGACTGTACCCAGTGCTTATATAAATAAATAAAGAAATCTTAAAAAAAAAATAAAGTAACTATAGAAATTTGGCAAATTTTCCCCTCCTGTTATAGAGAAATCCATTTGTGCTTTTTGGTATGGTTTCATTAACTTGGAACTTATCCTATTGTATGATGTAAATAGTTGATCCAATTTTATCTTTTTCCATTTATCTCAATGTCATTTAATAAAAAGTTCACTTTCTTTTCCCTAATTATTTGAGATACCATTTATATCATATTCTAACAAAATTCCTGTCACAAAAGGTCAAAGTTAAGATTAGTAATTACCTATGAAGAGTACTGGTAAGGGTATTTTTGGTTTTCATGAGAGAATGGACCAGAGGGATTTTTCTTCCCTTTATGATAGACTAAATTTTGATATTTGTATCAGTTGGCTAATCACCTTCTTTTTATGTGAGTGGAAATGGGTGTGGTATTTAAAATGTTTTCAAATAGATTTACCCATTTTTTTTTTTAATTAGAGAGCTTATGTTCTGAGACCATTAATCTAAATCACCAATTGTTTAAATAATTATTATCTGGTAATAATGACGTAAATGTTTTTGTAATAGGATGTTTTGAGGTCTAAAATTAAATGATGAAAACTTTTTACTGCATGACCTTGTAAAATTAATGTTATGATAAAATTAATGTTTATTACAATCCACCTCTCACCTTATTAAGAGTTCTTGTAATAGCTTTTTCGTGGCACTTATGTTTCAGATTGTATAACAAATATTCACACCAGATATGGAAAAGATCAGTAACATTCAGGGAACTGGCAGAGGTTTTTGCTCTGCCAGGGTTGAATAAAGAAAAAAAGCGTGCATGTGTGTGTGTGTGTGTGCGTGTGTGTGCGCGCTGTGTAGTGTTTAGGTGATTGTTTCATTTTCAAGCCTTATGATTTAGTATGGATGTTTGTGATTGTTTCTAATCACCTTTATCACTGTTAAATCATTATAATATAAAATGATGACAGCAGCTTATACAATATGGTTGTTCTAGTCAGAAGAGTTTTTTTGTGAAAACTATTATTCCCACTTTGACACTGGGTCAGGTCTTGATAGCCATGAATCTTCAAGGTTGGGGATTTGGAAATTGTATATATAAAAATTAAGAAATTATTCTTTGATTATTCTTTGATTCTCTCAATCAAAGAGTCACTGTAAGCATGAAATCTCGGTCTATGGGAAGGATGGGATCTTGGGAATGTAGAGAATGAGTATAAATTACTTTCCCAAGTTGGAAGTTCATTTTTCAAAGCAGTTTTTCTCTGTCTTTTTTGTACACAGTTTATGTCCCCCAGCAAATATCAATTAATTTACTATTAGGAGTGTAGGATTATTTTTTCCAACGCTCACAATACTTTTAAGCATGAAGAGTCAATATGTGGAGAAAAACACATACTCCCCTCCCAGGAAGAATAGATAAAGTGTCTGGGATGTATAGGAACAGCATGATGAAAACTGGGAGCCAGAAGATGATCTCTTTCCATATACCCAGTGCGTCCATGAGAAATACAGTGAAGAGGTCTAGGTAATAAACTGTCAACCCTCAAGAATCTGAAATATCATGATTTAAGAAACCTGTCAAAAACACACATGTTAATCAGGGACATCCTGCAGGGGAGGAGGAGGGAGAGGGATCAGAGGGAGGGAGGGAGGAGCACAGGGGACTGTGGTGATGGTGCACAGGTGCATTGGTGAAGGAAATTCTATGGGGACTACACCTGAGGGGGTGGGGGGATGCAAATATTGTTTAAAAATGAACAATGATGTAAAAGATTTTAAAAGTTTAAAAAAACACATTGCAAGTAGTAAAAATTGCTATTTGAAGCTACATCTTTCATAAAAGCTTTCTGTGGAATAGGAAGTCTTAAGAGTCACAATAACCAAATGTTTGATCTCTTATTTAAAAATTGCCTATTTAAAAAGCTTACTCTCTCTTTTCTCTAGAAGATTCTCAAAATATGCTGCTGCAAAAGCTGGTATATTGTCGGGTTGCTGCCTCAGAATCTCGCGTGTCAGCCCTTCAAGAAGATTTCCAAATCCTTGTGGAATTCGGTATTGGGTGTTGGAGAATGGAATCGACATCTCCTTGGAAGTAACTGCCTATTGTACCTAGAGATTCATTAAAAAGGTAGTCTTTAAGTTTATCTAATTTTTGCCTATATAATCACAACTACAATGACAAATTATTTCTGAGACCCAAATTTTCTGGATTTTCAATTCTTTCCCCCACCCAAACACAATCCAAGTCCATCCATTTCTTCCAGAGTTTTGAATTTTTCATTATTAGAATATTTACACACAACGACCCATTTAATAGGTCAAATCATTGTGAAACATTACAAAAATCAGATTTTTAAACTAACACTAGGTACTTTTTCCTCTGTCCCTCTTTCTATGTGTAAGAGATGAGGGTAATTTTTGCTAACCTACAGCAATTTAGAGAGAACGGTTGTTAAAACTTCATTATAAATTGCTGAGAAGACCCTGTTTAGGGACTAAAATTGAAAAAAAAAAGTAGGTACTAATCCTGGTTCTAGAAATTAATTTGTTAAATGAAGAAGTTTCACACTTAGTCTTTGTTAGTTTGTACTTCTGAAGCATGACCTCGAAGCACCTAAATACTCTGTAAAGGGAGTGGAGGGGGTGGGAAAAGATCTTGATTTCGCAATCCCAGCCTCCAAAATTTTGGGATACTTCCCCACCCTGGTTTTGTCTTGACCAGGTCTTCTCTTCCAGTCTAAGAATACAAAGCCTCGATTAAGAATAACTGACACTATGAACCAGAGACACTTTTTGGGGGTGGGGGGTGGGAGGGGAGGGATTGGGGTCAATATGGGGGGTTGCAATTGTATGGGGAATATAAAAATAAAATTTATTATTTAAAAAAAAAAGAATAACTGACAAACAGTGGGTTGGGCTCTTGAGAAGGCATATAAGTTTGTTTATATGTGGGAGGGTTAATGCCGAATAATGGTGGAAGCAGTGCTGAGGATCTAGGTGGGGAACTAGACGATTTAATGAGCCCCAAACTGTGGAGGATTTTTTTCTCTTCCTTTTTTTGAGGACACAGGAGATGAGGTAGTGAATCATCCCAGGGCTGTGAAAAGCGGAACTACAGGGCTAATTAGGTGGCTCCGGGACTTCGAGGCTCTGGATTTCAGGCTCTCACAGAACGGGCTGAATTGGCTCCCCATCTGCCCGCGGGTCCCCGGGGTGTGTTTGAAATCCTGAGGGAAAACGAGAGGCGAAGGGAAAAGGCGAGGATTCGGTTTTGGAGAGGAAATAGGGGAGCCCGCCTCACCTCCTCTTTACTCTCAGAGCTGGTGCCGGTGGTTCAGGTTGTTTTTGCTCGTTGCTGGGTAACCGTCTTTCTCCAGCTACGGCGGCCGAGAAGGAAGGGGCGCGGCCTCGCGGATTGAACGGCCCGCGGTGGGCGGAGTCAAGCCTTGGCGGCCCCGCGCAGGCCCCGCCCCGGCCCCGCCCCAGCCCCGCCCCTCCCGAGTGTCCCCTTCTGGAGTCCAGCGTTGGGGTGAAGGATCCACGCAAACATGAACGCGCCGGGATTTCTCTTTGGGCTGGTGCTGCCATTAATCTTGCGGGCCGAAATCAGTGCAGGTGAGGCGGCCCGGCCAGACCCCCGCCCGCAGCCGCGCGGGCTCGGAGATCCCACTTTCTCTTCAGGACCCCCAACGCGCGCCCCCCTCTCAAGGTCGGGGTGGGCATCTCGGCCAGGAAGAGAGTTCCCCCCTCCAGACCCAGGCTGCGGGTGTCTGCTGGGCGGGAGTCGCGTCTCGCCGCCTTCTTCTTTCATTTCCTTCTTGGTTGTGCTGCAGCGCGTGGGGCGCAAGGGAGAGTTCATTTCACCCGGGTTTGGGGGTTCAGACCTGCCCAGACCCTGGCCCTTCAGTCTTTGAATAACTCACTGCTGGGACCTCGAAGGGGAGGGGGCGAAGCTAGGTAGCTATAGTTTGGAAACAGGTGACTGAGTCATCTGAAACATTGTAATGCTGCCCCCTCAGTGGTACCCCCCGGGGAGGGTTTGCTTCAGGCAGGGTTCCTTGGGGGAATTCAGTTCTTCTAGTTTAAGTGGTGATTAGGGCTAAGAAATACAGCCCCCTCACTAGCTCAGTGTATTTAAGGCTCAGCTTTGCTTTCTGGTGCAACTGCCAGATACTAGTGGTGGCAAAAGATGTATGTATAGCCTGGTGAAGCGCTGACTCACTTTATGGAGGTCGAATTCTGTCATTTCAATACCTCAGACTGGACTTTGGGTCTCAGCCACGGAGAAACCAGGACGAGGAATCTGCCTACCCAAGCAAAGTAAAGTGATAATGCTAGGCCAACTTTTTTTCCTTCAAATCACTCCATTAGTGGCGCTCAAAGACCCCTGTTGAGAAATGGAAGTTGAGGTGGGAGAATGGAGTGCAGAAAAGTGACTGCAGCTCTGGCAAAGAACCTCACATTAATGCAGATTCAGACAAACTGCAGCCCCTAAGTGGGTTTTCAGGATTTAACAAAAATGTAAACTAGCAGCACTATTATATCATGCCTCTCATCCCCAATCAATGACCTTTAAGTCCAGCCTATGAGATAGAAGTTAAGAACCATGTGGGGCATTTTTCAAATTAGTTTTTCTGTTAAAAGTTAACCTTTTTTTTTTTTTAAAGATTTATTTATTTATGCATGCAAGATCTGGGGTACAGGCCAGAGGTGTGAGGGGTGAGAGGATTCACCAGAGACAGAATGGGGAACAGAAGAGGCAGACTGACTGAAATACACTTGCTGAGGGGAGCAGTGGGTGAGTCAGGAGAGGTCTGCTGCGCCATGTGGGTGGCTCCCTGGCCAGGGATCGAACTCATGCTTCAGTGGCTGCAGATAGCTTCATAGGTTGTGTCTTAACCCCTTGTGCCACCAGGGAGGCCCTAAAAGTTAACCTTAACATTGTTATTTTATCTTTGCTTTGGGTCGTCATCTTTATTAGCTATTTTTCTTTCATTAACTTTTAAATTTTTCTCTCCATCTTATTTTATCCTATATCCTGACATCTTTCCTTCTGACTGTCCCCTTGACCCTCCAGTTTATTAGCTAATATTTGACAAAATATATGTAGCGGTAAAACAATGAAATGAACACTACAGGCTCTCCATAAAACTAGAACACTGGCCTTTTTTGTTGAGACTCCCTGATGTTCCTCCCAGTTTCTCTCCAGAGATAACTGATGGGGTTCTGATGTAGGGTTTGGTATGTGGGGTTCTTGGGTCCCTCTGAGCAAGAGTTTGACAGAGTTCTCCTTTAGTGGCACATCGTGAGTTTTTCAAGGAAACGGTGTTTTCATGGACAGAAACAGGCAAAGCTACATTTTAAAGGTTTATTAGGAAAAAGAAAAGGGAAAGAAAGAGGTACCTGCATAGACACGGGCTGGCAGGAAGCTGCATTTTGCTAGAACATGGGTGTTCTTTTGTGGTGTTCATGGTGGGGGAGTCATACCTCTGTGGATTTTTTTTTGGATTTGGGATCTGCTTGAGTTGGTTTTCTGTAAGTGATAATCCCTTCTACTCATACCTTAGATTCCTGGGACATTCCTTAACTAGTTTAACAACTGGTTCTTCTTCTCTGCCACCAATTATGGTTTTAGACCTTGCAAGACCTTCCATCTAAATTTTTTTACTCTAAGCTTCCATCAGTAACTACTGATAACCAATTTTGTTGTCTGTTTTTAACGACTACTTTTAACTTCCCAGAACACTAGTTCCCATTTTTCTACTCTAACACCCAGATGAAGGAAACATGGGGCCTGAAAAGTCCCAGCTCTTCTTGTTTTTCAATTTTGTCCATTCTCAGTTCCTTGGTAATGTTCCACTGTCTACTCTTACCAGCTTAGAATGTGAGCTTTATCATAAGGACAAGGAATATGGTTTTTCTTTGATTTACACAGTTAGCTAATTGTGGCAGAATGGAAACTGGTGCAACTTTGAAATCAGGTGTCAGATTTTACTCCTGTCATAAATGATCTATGTCATTTGAGGACAAGGAAGTTTAGTGCCTGTAAGTGTGTTTAGTACAGCGCTTGCCACTATAAGCTCCCTAATAGAATGTAAGCTCCCTCTGGCAAGGCCTTTTGTCTATTGTTGTTTTTTCTTTTTCTTTCACAGTTATATCTTCAATGCTTAAAATAGTGTCTGGCACATAGTAGGCATCAATATTTATTGAATTAATTTTTTAAAAAGATTTATTTATTTATACAAGAACCGGGGTTCAGACCAGATGCACGGGAGGGTGAGAGGGTTCACCAGAGCCAGAGCGGGGAACAGAACAGGCAGACTGATGAAATACACTGCTGAGGGGAGCAGCAGGCGAGACAGGAGAGGTCTGCTTCGCCATGTGGGATTCTCACCGGCCGTCCGGGATCGAACCTGTGCTGCAGAGGCTGTGGACAGCTTCATAGTGTGGCGCTCTACTGCCTGCGCCACCAGGGAGGCCCTATTTGTTGAATTAATTAAAACATGCACGCTATTTTTAAAAGTTACTTAATTTACTTGGTCTCAGCCTGTCAATCAGTAAACAACATGATTATTATACCCCAGGATGTGAGCAATCCTCCATTGCACCTGTAATGTTCTTTAATTCAGAATGAAAATGTGTACAAAGAGCATCAGTGAAGGTAAAACAGACTGTCTTAGAAAGGTATTTCTCCCCAAGCTGTGAGGTAGTTCCTTTTGTTTACAGGGGTCCTTATGCAAGTGGCAGCCAACTCTTCACTCCAAGCACCCCAGGCCTTCCTTCTCTCTACTTCACTCTGAGGCCTTTGGTTTCAATTTTTGTACCATTTGAAGCACCTATATCCAAGACAAGGCCCTCCCACACATATGCCTCTTCCCTTCCCTCCAGCAGGCTGCCAGTATACTTATGCAATTCTGGGGGTTAGAGTCTTTTAGAGCATTTTGCCTGTGGTAGCTGTGTAAATCTCCAGCATGGGAGGCCTGGTTCATGTAGGTTTTCATGATCCCAGTAACCAGTAACTCATGTAAGAGCTGAGGATGTTCAGGGACTGGGCTGTTATTCAAAGTGCAGGACAAATAGGCCACTGAGTCTGTGGGAGACTCATTAGCTGTGCTGCCTGGTTAAGTATAGCCTCAGGTGCTATCATCATTTGTAGCTTCCAGGGAGGAATATGTCACCCTTGTTACTTTTGATTCACTTTCCTGCCTATCATTTTTGTTACAAACCCTTTAAAAAAATGTTAATTTTGGTAATTATTTTCTCCTAGGATTTTTTGGGACACATCTTAAGAAGTTGTTTGTTTCTCCTTGTTAAGTTTTGATGAGATACTCACAGATAATTTGGATAGAAGCTTGTTATTAATAAAATACTTCCACATCAGCTGGATGTTAAAAATAGGAATCATCTTGTTAAAGTGAGTTCTTATTCAGACTTATTAGTGACTTTGCAACAGAATCCAGTTTTAAGGGCTCTTCTCTTGTTCTTTTTCTGTACTTTAGTTTGTGAAATGGGTGAAAGGGCTTGGAAAGACCTTTGTTCAAACATTTTGGCCTTCTTTTTTGCATCTTAATTTATCTGAATTTACTTTAGTGGATTTGTTGCAGATATTTATAAGTGCTTGTTTAGAATTTTCATTGAATTGTCAAAAAGCCACAATAAGGGGCATTATTTGAGGGAAATTGACACTGATTGGATGAGACAGGGGAGCCACAGAGTGGAGGAGAAAGACTGGAGAAGGCTATGTGGGAGAGGGGCAGGCTTCTTTATTTCTATGAGGAGTGGGTGTGGTATACTGAAAAATAGAGGAAGGAAGTGGTTAATTTTTCTCATAAATGTCATTTGTGGGGTGCCTAAAAGGAGAATTTCATTGAGCTGAGGGAGGATAGAGTGCAGATTGAGGGCCAGGTTTGAGAGCATAGGAAGATCAAGGGTACTGAAGGGGTAGCTTGTGGCACTTGGTTACCCTGGAATCTTTGTGTTTTCCTTGTTGGTCATCTTGGTGCATTTTTTGGAAATCATTCTTTTTACTTCGCTTAGCTCGTTCAGAGGAATAGATCTCGTATTAGAAGAGTTAAAGATCTGGGTCTGTGCAGATTCTCCTGTTTAAAGACTGTATGTTCTTTGCTGTTTAACGAGTTATAAACCCATGAATCCCCTCAGTGATGCTCTTCTAAGTGTTTGCTAAATTTTGTAGGTGCTGGTTTTCGCTTTGCATCATACATCAGTAACTACATGGTGCTGCAGAAGGAGCCTGCAGGGGCAGTGATTTGGGGTTATGGCATGCCTGGAGCCATGGTGAAAGTGACCCTGGGCCAGGATCAAGAAGCCATCATGAGCAAAGTGACCAGAGTAAATGGTAAGGCAGCCCATCCTCTCTTCAGCTTTTGTCGTCTTCTGCCATCTGCTGGATTATCTGAAAATGAATGCTTGTGCTGTAACTTAGGTCATCCATCCTTCCATCCATCCATCCATCCATCCATAGCAGTGATTTGCATATATACCTGTGCTATGCACTGTGGCTGTATAAAGGAAAATAAGACCAAGTCAAAGTCCCTGTGCTCAAGAGCTCAGAAATAATGGGAATAGACACCAAATCTATTATATTGTGACTGTTAAGTTACATATGTTGCAGTGTGATAAATGCTACAAGGAAGGTATATGTGGTGTGTGAAGTACAGAAGACAAACATTTAACTCAGATTGGCTGGCGTGGGAAAAGTTTCCACAGAAGGCAACATTTGAGCTGCATCATATATAAAGCCGAGGCGGTGTGGAGGAGTGGTTAAGAGCCTACCTGTGCAATTTATTGTCCGGTTCAGGTTCTGACTCCCAACGCTCAACGTTAAATCACCTTGTACATGTTAGTTAACATCTCCGTGTTGTAGATGATAAAAGTTTTGGGGATTCTTGTGAAGACTAAATGAATTAGCACATGTAAAGAACTTAGAGCAGGGCCTGGCACACACTAAGTACTGAGTGTTAGCTGTTGTTATGGTTACCATTGTTATGATCTACTTCATCAGTCTCTCCAATATTTATTGAATGCCTACTATGTTCCAGATGTTGTGATAGGTACCAGTGATACAATGATGAGCAAAATAGATGTGGTCTCTCCCCTAATGAAGCTTATAGCTGGTGGAGACAGAAAGATAACAAGCTTTAAGAATTAAGTGTGATTAGTGCCACAATCCAATTAGCTACACAGGGGAAGTATGGGGAGTGGTGGGAGTGCTTAGGAGGGATCTTAGTCTAAGGCTCCTCTTTAAGGATGACCAGGACAAACCAGACAGAGGGAATAGCCTGGGCAAAGGCCTGGAGGCACGAATGGGCATGGGTCAGTGGAGAAGTGGCAGCAGGTTGGCTTGTCTGGAACAATGAGATTCGTGACTAGTGGTGGAGGACAGGAAATGTAGGGAGGATTGTTTGTCATTGCTAGGGAGTGTATTCTCTTTTGGATAGATGGATTTCCAGGAGCAAAATAACACAATCAGATTTGCATTTTAAAAAGATGGCTCTGGCAGCACTGTGAAAGAGGGACCAGGATTGGAGGGACTGGAGGTTAGAGGTGGTGGGATCTGTTAGTGGGCTATTTGATGTTCATGCAGTAGACACAGAAGATTAGACTCAAGGTAGTGGCTGTGAGGCTGCTCAAAAAGATGAAAATTAGCAGCCTTTATGAACAGAGAGATCCTTTTTTATCCAGCAGAGGTAAAGATGTATAAGATAGTGTGTGAATAGCAAAATTGGAAGTTACTGGATACAGGAGGGTGGACTGAAGGCTGGGTCAAGTGCAGATCTGATAGTTAGAGGTAGATGGATGGCCCCAGAATGTAGAGGTGAGAGTTAGACAGGTAAGGAGCCTGCACTGGGGGCAGCTGAGCTAATGTGGAAGTTGTTGGTTTGTGCAGTGACTGACGTGAATGTTCCTATGTGGCAGGGAAGTTCACAGACATTTTATTGGGCACTGATACTACTAAAGATTGCCAAATTAATTTTGTGAATATGTAGCACTGATGTCCAAAACAGAGGGTTGCAGACCCTGGTGTGGCCTTTTTAGAATTCATTTCTATTCAATAAACATTTTTAAAAACTATGTACCAGGCATAGAGGCAAGGTTCTAGTTCTTGGATACAAGAACTGGGGTGTAAGGCAGAGGTGGGGGGAGGTAGGGAATGAGAGGATTTGCAGGAGAGAGAGTAGGTTGCAGAACAGGCAGATGTACTGAAATGCACTGCTGAGGGGAGCAGTGGGTGAAACAGGAGAGGTCTGCTGTGCCATGTGGCTTAGCTCCCTGGCCGGGTATCAAACTCGTGCTGTTGTGGCTGGCAGTAGCTTGATAGCACTGTCTGTAGCCCCTGTGCCACCAGGAAGTCCTCCCTTTAAGGCTTTTTAAGGTAAGACTTTTTTTGGGTGAAACCAAGAGCCTTGAAAGGGAAGTTTAAGTCAATGAGAGATTGTTCTGTTTGATTTGAATACTGTCAGTGACTTACAGGATATACTGAAGATGAAGAATTCAAGAGATTAACAGTGCTTTCTTTCTGTGTCCATCTTAGAAATGAATAGCACAGAGTAGAAATAGTGGTACTATCAGTAAATGATGTCAATTAAAAAACCCAAAGAATTGCTGATATTTAAAAATAAGAAATAGGATTCCCTAGATGCTAATAAATGACATTACCAAAAAGTGGAAGATAGTGCCTACTCAGTACTGGAGAGATAGGTACAGAAAGCATGTAATACTACGGAGCACTTCAGTTACAAAAAATGTTGTTATGCATTATTTTTAGTTATCCTCCCTCTGCCCCGCCCACCATGCCTGTTTCAGGACTAACATTTGGAGTGGCCAGAGGTGAGACAGGGTAGGTGGAGATGATGAGAAGGAAAAAAAGATAATAATTAGGGAATGAGCATCTTTTCCTTTACAATGATAGTGAACCTGTTTACTTGCCTTAAGTTCAATTTTATGAATAGGGGGGTGGTTGTCACCGGTGGTGGTGGGGGGAGGTCTATTACTAGATTTTCCACCTCTGCTTGGTAGAGATGAAAGGTATATCAGTTTATATAGATCTACACCTGCACTGCAATGGGCATCTTGCTTGGTCCTGCCCATGAAACAAAATGAATGAAGTGCTTTTTGGAATAGAGGCAGCGCACATGTAAGAAATTCACAGGGAAGAATAAAAAACTATTTCTCAAAGGAGATACTGCAGGAACTATTGAAGGGTTGACTTCTATTTTAAGTGTTGATGAGGCCTCTGGGATTTTTCAGCCAAATTATCTCATTTTTCAACTCTGTCTACCTCTGTAAACATTTAACTTATCACCTATAATCACTTAGATGCCCATAACATAGTAGAATTTAACAACTTAGAGGTTTTTGTCCAGCATACCTACACACATTGGGAAAATTAAAACCTGAGGATGATTGGGAATATTTGTTGTCAGGATTGAAGTAAATTTATTTACTCTAACCTAGAAAAATATGAAAATATGAAACCACTTAGAAAAATAAAACTCCTGATTGCAGTGTTAGCATGCACACTGATTTTTAGTTATAAAAAAATGTTGTTATGCGTTATTTTTAGTTATCCTCCCTCTGCCCTGCCCACCATGCCTGATTTGCAATGCTAGATAAGTCTCCACAAACTCAGGTGTTTAAAACAATAAGCTTTTACTGTCTCACAATTCCTGTAGGTCTGAAGCCTGGCTATCACTAAGCTGGTTTCTCACTTGGATCTCACAAGGCCAAAATCAAGGCTGAGTTGATTTCTCATCTTGCGGCTTGACTAGGGAATGATCCTTTTTCAGGCTCCCTTGGGTTCCTGCCAGATCCTTCCTTGTGCCTCTAGAGCTCATGGTACCATCTCTGCCGCTTCAAATCTCTGACCTTCTTTAATCAAATCTTTGCACTCTCCTAAAAGGTTTCCCTTACTAGGTCAGGCCCTCCAAGGATCATCTCCCTTTATTATGGCTAATTAGTTAGAGCCTTTAATTACACCTGCAGAATTCCTTAGTCTTTTTCATATAACGTAACTAATAAGGATGACTTTGCATCCCCTTTGCCATTTTCTGTTGGCTGGAAGCAAATCACAGATTGTGCCTGCACTTGAAAGGAGGGGATTATACACTTGATTTAATGGGGGTTACCTTAGGGTGTTTCTACCCTAGCATGCAACTGATTAAGTAATTTGCATCAACAATTTTATTGATAGAAAAATATTTAAGGTTTTTTTCATAGATGTTGGCAGTGCAGATGGATTTTATATAAAATAGAGGTAGATTAGGAAGGGGCACATCGGACAGTTCTTTATCTCCAAGTTACTTTCACAAATCCCTGAACTAATTTGAGCTCATATCTGTGAGGCAGAAGTGAACAGAGTTGCTTCTCCCAGTTTTAGGTTTTTCCTTTTGGGAAGGGAAAGGTTGTGGATGAATTTTTCCTTTTTTCTCTTCTTGGTATCTGAAATTTGGCACAATAACCTGAAAAATAATTAACATCTGATGTGAATAGCAGAAAGAAAAAAAAGGCAAGAAAGCACACTATGACTAATCATGTCTCTAGACAAATTGTTTTGATTTTTTCCTTTTATTTGTTCTTCCCATTTTGAGGTGGGGGTTAGTCAGGAAGATGGGGAGGAAATGGAGAAAGAGAAGAAAAACAGTAAGAAATAGACCACCAGATATGCTCGCCCTTAGACATGAAATCACAAAGCTGGTCAGTTTCCATGGGTTTCTTGTCAGTAGAAGCCAGGACTGGGGGTTATTTCCTGCCATTTACTTGATGTAGTGCCTGGCACATGCTAAGCACACAGATAACTGTATCATGAAGGAAGGAAATGAGTCTTCCTAGGTGGGAGAAGAATGAATGTGAGGAAACTGAGATTTTGTTTTTTAAGAAAAAAAACAAAAATACAAAAAAAAGCTTACTAATATCATATATATCCCCTGTGTACATGTACATGGGAGAGACCCAGCATGACTGAGTAACTGGGGAAGCAGAGATTTGAATGCGACCAAATAAGAATTTAAGGAAATCCAGGCCTGAAGTGGTCAAGGAGGTCACAAGTTAGTAAGTGGTTATAGAGAAGTGGAACCAGAGCAGTTTTTGCTGAGAAAGCCTAGTAGGCTCAGCAGCTCAACTCTTTGTGGTCAGTGACTCAATTTTATTTTGACTCAATGTCATGGACTTGGTGGGTCAACACAGTGTCTAAAAATTATAGCTGGTTTTATCAGTTGTTGTGAGCCCCACAGTAGGCAACCGACCCTAACCCGACAGCCCAAGCAAGGCCTGATCAATTCTCCTTGTGAAATGTGGTGGCTTTTGCCTGTACAATCTCACTTTTGCCTTCAGTCTGAGAAACAGTCTTCACAGGGGCTGTTCTTCTTTGCATAGCCTCATATAGGTGTGCGTATGCATTGCTTTAAATGAGTCGCTTCTGAGGTAGACTCTTAGTAACCTCTTTGTAGGGGATTTGATTTACCTTGCCTTGCCTGGCAGTTAATTTCACTTAACACTCATTATTGTGTCAGAGTTAATTTTTCTTTTATCAAGTGGGAGATAAAGAGAGTTAGAAACTAAAAGAACTTGAGGACTAGCACAGAAAGAAGGTCTTTGAGGAAGTTGAACAGTTTCCTTGGGAGAGTAAGTTCTTGGAAATAAGGCCATGTCTTGATGTCTGCTTTCCTTAGACTCTCTAGGCCCTGGTGGGACCTCAGTCTCTGGCTGTAGAAGGATGGCATTGCCGTGTTTTGTCCAAATGTCTCCCCTTCCCCTGATAGGCATTAGGGCAGCAAAACTTCAGAAACAGTGATAGTGAAGGTAGTTTTCTTCACCAGCCATTTTGTCAGGATTGAGGCTGAGTGTGACTACTTGATTAATAACAGTGAGTAGGAATAGTTTAGTAGTAGAAGGCTTAAAATATAGTGATTTCCTAGGTCTTCTGGGGGGTTATTCTGCTCATCAGAAATGAGTAATGTTGATGGCAGAAGGACAGAGCTCCAGTAAGAGATGTCAGTACAAGAAGCCTGGAAAGACCTTGGCAAGACTGTCATTGGGACAGATTGCAGTGTCTGCCTGCTCAGAAGTGTGAGCCATACGGAGCACATCACACCTGTGCGACTCCATCTGTACTGAGCTGCCCACTGTTTCCAAAACAGTGATTTTTCTGCTTTAGGTGAATTACACATTTAATATGTTGATGTCTGACTATTGATGTTATAAAAACAATAGTGAACATTTGATCCTGGGCTTCATTGACCTCTTAGGGATGGGAGGAGCAAGCTCAGTTGTGCTTTTGAGAGGAAAAAACACCTACCCTTTCCCTGATCCCTTGGGGCCTTTGGACATAACCCTGAGGCTCTGATTGTTCATTTCTGGGCTGAGCTGCTATAGTGCATGTAAACTTGTCAGGTTTGTTTCACTTTTGCTGATTAGAAAGAGCTTATCACAGTATCTAGCACGTAGTAGGCACTTGGACAGCATCTTTATAATTATTACTTTTTATAGGTTGGTCTAATAACTTCAGGATGATCCACTTCTCGTTTTTACCATTTTTTCCCTTTGAATTTACATTGATCTGATGAACATACATTATAAGTCATTTTGTATCTTTGGCATTATGCCAAGAATGTTTATTTTAAAATGATTGTTTCTTTATTTATTTAATCTATTTTCTCACTCTCATTTTTTTTGTCAACTCTGTTCATGTTGTTTGGTTCTTCTAGGGATAATTTTACCATTTTCAAGATATTTTCTTTAAGTTTCCGAGTATGATGTTGGCAGTGGTGGTGGGATGAGTGGGTGAGAGGTAGGAAGGTGGTAGGGGGGTGGTTCCTAAGGAATATGCTTTGAATTTCTGAAATAGGGTCTTGGATAGCTTTTCATCTCCCTAATTGAGTCCGAGAAGCGTTAAGTTTATGAAATAACTGTGAAAATAATTAATTGGGCAGGCCTAAATATCTTCACAGAGAGATTAATTTATATCCTCCGGCTACTTCTTTACCTGTCAGTTTCTCCTCTCACCAACTATTGACAGACAAACCCAGAGCCAGGTGGTATCAATCCTTGGTAGTATCATGGAGAGGGGCTGGGGCATCCATGACAAGGATGATACCATTAGTAAAGGAGGTTTCCGATTATTAATTATTTTCTCTAACTAACCTGTGCTCACGTTTGGTTGGATAAGTATAAGCTAGTTTGGAGCACTGTATAAATCTGTTTTATTCCATTAACATTGACATTTGGATAGCATAATAGGAATGACTATTTAATGTTTTGGATTAAACACTCTTAAATTTTAATCTCTGTATATTTTGGTCTATTATCATTTAGGATTATAACTGGGTAATTTGTTTTTCTTTAGTTAAAAGTAAGGAGGGATTGGTGCAGATTAAGGAGAGAAATGCTTCTGCTTTCATTGTTTCTATTTACTTGTCTGAAGTCTTCCAATCTTTGTAGCTTGAATTTATTCTATCACAGAGGATGGGGATAACCACAAAGGAGTATGATGCATGACTGGATTGGGCTATACTTTAATTTATTAACTGATTGATTAATACCTCTGAATCTTGTTATGATTTCAGCATACTCAAGTGCCTGGATGGTGGTATTAGATCCTATGAAGCCTGGTGGACCTTTTGAATTGATAGCACAACAGAGTTTTGGCTGGAAAAACTCCACCCTGAAAGTTCATGATGTCTTATTTGGAGATGTCTGGCTTTGCAGTGGGCAAAGTAACATGGAGATGACAGTTTCACAGGTAATTTACAGGATCTTGGGAATAATAAATAATGTTGATGATAAAGAAGAAAAAGAAGAGGAGGAAGGGGTCAAGGCAAGGATGGGAAAGCAGAAACCTACTGTTTTTTTGTTTTTAACCAGGGGCCAAGTTCTATTCTAAGTACTTTCATGTATTAATTAATTTGATTAAGCACCTTTAGGACAAGCGCTGTTATTCCCATCTCACAGATGAGGAAACTGGCCCACGGTAGTTAAATTACCTGCTTAAGGTCACACAGTTAATAATGGAGCCAGGAAATGGTCTGGTTTTGTGCCCCAGAGCCTGCTTGCTTAATTACAACCAGTGTACTCTTGAGTGCCCAGCATTGTTTTCTGACATTTCTGGATTAAAGGAAGAAGCTGAGTGGAGATCGTATGGTAGTGGAGATTTCATGTCAAAAGTAGATTATCCTTCCTTTTGATTATCTTAGAAGATGGATTTCTGTAGAGGGTCAAGGCAATTAGATTTTGTTTTACTGCTGAGCAGCTAATATGCGATATGTTTTCTGTTGTCATGGAGATTTAAAAAAAATTAAGACTAAGTGTGGGCTTTTCTTTTACTACTTGTATGACTTGGAGTATATCACCTGGTATTTCAGAAACTTTGTTTTTAAAAAAAATTGTGGTAAAAATGATTGTGAAATAATATTTATCATTTTCATCATGGGTATGTACACAATTCAGTGGCATTAAATACAGTGTCCAGCACCATTATTTATACTCAGAACTTTTTCATCATCCCCACATAAACTCTGTACCCATCGAACAGTTCCTCCTTTACCCTTCCCTCCACCCCTGGTAATATGTGTTCCCTCAATGAGTTTACCTACCTATTTTAGATACCTAATGTAGGTGCCATTACAGATATCTGTTCTAGTCCCTGCTTTCAATTCTTTGAGTATATATCCAAGTGAGTGAAATTGTGGGTCATCTGTCAGTTCTGTAGTTAACTTTTGAGGAACCATCAAACCATTTTCCATTGGGTTCTATCACTTTATGCTGACACCAGCAACATGCAAAGATGCTCGTTTCTCTACATCCTTATTAATGTGTGTGTGCTTTTTAGTATAGCCATCTTAATACATGTGAAATGGCATCTTTTTTTGATCCCATTTTGGGATTATAGCCATCTGAGTAGGTGTGACGTGGCATTTATTGTGGTTTTGATTTGCATTTCTCTAATGACTAATGATGGTCAGTATTGTTTCATGTACTTATTAGCCATTTGCACATCCTCTTTGGAGAAATATCTATTGAAGACCTTTGCCCAATTTTGAATTTAATTTTTTGTTATTGAATTGTAGGAATTTTTAAAATATAATCTAGATATTAGTTACTGGTCAGATACATGATTTACAAATATTTTCTCCATTCTGTAGGTTGTCTTATTTCTTTCTTGAGAAGTGTCCTTTGATAACACAAAAGTCTTATTTTGTGTTGGATAAAGTCTTTGATAAAGTCTTATTTTTATTATTTTATTATTTTTATTTTGTTGTTTATACTTTCCGTGTCATAGTCATGAAATTTGTGTCAAATCCAATGTCATGAAGATTTTCCCCAATGTTGTCTTAAAGTTTAGCTTAAGTTTAGATCTCTGATTTTTTTTTTTTTGAGATAATTTTTATATATTGTACAAAGGTTAGGGTCTAACTTCATTCATTAGCAAGTGGAAATGTGATTTTCCCAGCACCGTTTGCTGAAAAATCCTGTCTTTTCCCCCATTGAATGGTCTTGGCACTCTTATCAAAAATCAGTTGGCCATATAGGGGCCTCTCAAGCTATGGCAGCATGAGTTTGTTCGATCCCTGGCCAGGGAGCTAACCCACAGGGTGCAGCAGGCCTCTCCTCTCTCACCCACTGCTCCCCTCAGCAGTGTATTTCAGAAGATTCTCTTCTTCTTGCTCCCCACTGTCTCTGATAAATCCTCTTACCCCCATGCCTCTAGCCTACATCCCAATTCTTGTATGCATAAATAAATAAATCTTTTTAAAAAATCATTTGGCCACATATATGAGGGTTTACTTCTGGGATCTCTGTTATGTTGCAATGACTTATAGGTCTTTTATGGCAGTAACATACTGTTTTAATGTCCACAGCTTTAAGCCAAGTTGCAAAGTATGAGTCTTCCAACTTCATCTTTTTCCAGATTGTTTTGGCTATCAGGGTCTTCTGCATGGCCTAAATTTGAGGTATTTCTCTTCCATTTCTGCGGAAATGGCTTTTTGAATTTTGATAGGTTTTGTATTGGTATCAACTCTAACACAATAACAGTCTAGACCAGAAAGTGAATTTCTGTATAGGGTATGAGAGGGATTAGTTTAATTCTTGGAACCTCAGAATCAGCATCATTTCATTTGTTTAGTGAAAGCAATCTGATTTAAAAATAAAAGTAAGGGAGAACATTCATAGAGGTATTTAAATTCTGGGCGCAGACATGTATCTCCCATCTTGCCCCTTGCTCCCTTGCAGGGTATTTCAATAAACCTACCTTTTCTATTAAAAATAAATAAATTCTGTAAGCTTAAAATTTTATTGGAAGATTAATATGTATTAAGTTCTTTGGCATATTTGAAATTAGGATGTATATTCTTCGCTTATTTATATGTTCTGATTTTTCTATAATTAGTGTGGAATATCTGTAATTTTTAAAAGAAAGTTATAAAGACAGGAAATTGATATTGACTTAATCTCTTCAATATCATAGCCCCAGTTTACAGGTAAAGAAGCACATTATATCAATAAGAAGCTTAGGAATCTACTCTTTGAGTTGGTGATTGAAATTAATATGTTCTGTAGACTTTGTTTCCTTTAATAGAGTAAGAACTTGAAAAGATGATTGTCTTTAGTTCCTTTCCTTAAGACTCAATTTCCTCTTGAGTTGATTTTTATTTTTCTGCCTTTCTTTCATTATCTACATTTTCCTCTTTGAGAAATATTTTAATTTGAAATTTAAGAATCTCAACCACTAGACCATGCTCTTCACAAACTTCTTTCCCTGAAACATTTGTACATTGAGTCATTTCACATACTTTATGATTTCTTGTTTTGCTTCTATAGCTTCTACCCCTTATAGCTTTTCTTTATTTTTTTCTTTTTTTTAACTGGTCATAAAGTAATGCTACTAAAAGGATCCTCCTCTGAACATATCCACTTCATCATTTGTTTTCTAATTAAAAAATCTAAGTTCTTAAAAAAAAAAAACTAAGTTCTTGTAATGTCTTCTTTAATATTTTATTTACTCTTGCTTCCTGCCTTATTTAACTATGTGGAAGCCTTTTGAATATAAATGTTTATTAGACTTAATTTTAACTGGTTTCTCTATTAGAATAAGTGAATGAAGGAAAATTGAAGTTTTATCTCTGACAAGAAGAATGGTTTTGTTTAGAAGTGAGATTACTGTTAACTCATCAAGGAAAACAGTACTTTGTATTGGTTTTTTTTTTAATGAATTATTTTATTTTATATAATTCTTAAATCATTTTTCGTTTTTGCATAATGTATGCATTTTCATTTTGGTTATATTCCCCACACAATTCCCACCCCCTTTTTCTGACCCTAATCCCTCTTCTCCCCCTGCCTCCCACTGTAGTGTATCTCTGGTCTATAGTTGCTTGTTGATTTTGATTTTTACTTTCTTGCAATTAATTACAGTTTCTTGTTTGCACAGAAAAGCAGGGACCAGATCTATTTGTATCTATCCAGTCAGGTTCTCAGTAGTAGTCTATGCCAGGGGATCCCGTCCCATTTTCTGTCAAACTCAATCTGATTTGATTAAGAGTGAACATATTCTTTTTGCCCAGGATTTACTCATAAGCATCTTCTGTGTTCAGCAAGGCTACAAACTCTGAGATGTAGAGAAATAGTAAAATGATAACATTTGAAACAACCAAGTGTTAATTTTTAATTTTTTTTTTTGTTTAAAATCATGCACTTAGTTTGCAAGACAGCATTTTAGGTGCTGACATTACTAAAAGTCAAGTTTTTTAGTCTCATGACACTCTTTAGAACTTTATTTTTTCATCAAAAGGATGGTCTACACAATCCCTACCCCCAGACATACACAAACACACACATAAACAGAGTCTGTCTTTCTTTCCCCTTCCCTCCCTCCATGTGCCTTTTCTGGAGGTAATCTTTCCACTTTAACCTACCACTCTTCACATTCAAATGAAGGAAATGGCAGATTGTGTGCCCATCTTGTTGTTAGGGTAAAGTGGAATTTTAAAATTGAGTGTTATTTATAACACTGAGTGAGATGTTTATAAATGGAGAAGAGTCTAAATGTTCATCTGTTGCCTCCTAAGTCAGGGTAGGTCTTAAGATTTGGATATTTCAAAGAGTTAGCCTCAGAAGATGGCCAATGTCAGACAGGAAGGCCAGGTATCAAAGTCCCCACTGTATGTCACCGGTGGAGAAGTTCAAATTCAGAAGAGAAGGGATGGCACCACATTAACAATGAACGATTCACAGGCAACTGGTTTATCTGTCGTCATTACCTCAACTCTAAAATATGTGTATTGTGCTGTAGTTGGGGTGAAATAATTCACAGAATCCCAGATCTTTCGCGTTTCCCTGTGTTCTTTAGCATGTGTGTACACGTGCACACACACATGCACACACACGCTCGGGTCTTTCATGCTCTCTCATGAAGACCCCATGCCAGGATTCTCTGAGGAAATAGATTCTTGATGTTTCTTCATTAATTCAAGAATGTGGTATAAAGGTTACAAAATGAGCACTGGTGAGCAGCTGCTGTGATGGTGACCGGTCGCTCCCTGGAGACGCCGTGGTGCTCTCTCTCAGCCGCTGCTGCCTTAATGACTTCAAATACCTTCGTATTCATTTACATCCTCATTTGAATAGTTGGTAGAAAAATAATTACACTGAGGTGTTTGATGAGATGAAATTTGATCTTAGCAGATGGAGTAAGGCTTCCCCTTTCATCAGCTGGGAAACCAAGTGTCATTTAAATGAAAATCTTCCTGAAATCTCTTTATTCCTAAGTTTGCTGTCAATATCTCCCGGGAAATGCTTCCATCCGAAAACGCCTGGTGATATTGGGCCAGGATACCAATTGTAGGAGTAATTGTTATCAGATATGGCAAGAATTTCCCCCCACCCTCAATTTTGTTAACACTTTCTGTGGCTTTCAAGTTTTGTTTGACATGATACACAAAGGTGAGTTGGAAAATGGAGTTTTTCCCAGCCAGTGTTTAGGATGCAGTTCTGGGTGCTCGTTAACTATATAGGAGAGAACCAGGCACCCACGCCCTTTTGACCTTGAGCTGCCTACTGTGTTAGCAATGGATCTAAGGCAGTGGCGTGTTCACCCAGACTGCCTCCTCTCGCTGCCACGAGGCACTTGAGTTCCCAGCCAGTGCGGAAGCCGGTGTGGGTGGGAGAATGAAAGCGTTTCATCCACTGTTTCCATGGAAGCAACATACAATCCTTAGTACTTACTGCAGAACTGAATTTCAAGGGAGGCGACTTTTTACAGGTACTTGCTACTGAAAAATAATTTCCCGGCCAGAATGTGCTGTGAGTGTATTCTCCTGCTCCTACTCTTTAATGTTTATTTCGCGTTCAACTTGCCAGGCAGGATCCAGAACACATGGGTCTGGACTTCCTTTGGAATTTTCCTGAGACCGTATGCAGTCTCCGTCTTAATCGTGGGAAGACCAGTAACCCTGACAGGCTGGAGCTGCTGCTGCCCAGGGGCGCAGTGCAGGCTGGACCTCCCATTGTGACCAGGACAGCCATGTCATTCGCATCTGGCCATCTTATTGGCCACAGCAGGCTCAGTGGCAAGTCCAAAAGGCAATTCCAGGGGCAGCATATTTCAATGAAATGCTCTGTGGGAGCACTCTGGCTGCTCATCTTTTTCTCTAGCACTGTGGGCTGGAGGGCCAGCTGTATTCTCTGTGGTGGGTGGGTGGGAACTCGAGGCAGCTGCGCACTCTGTGGCTAGCGGCCAATGGAAAGTGTCCCAGCCTCCTGTGCCTCTTGCTGGGGCAAGCTTGTCTCAGCTGGAGCTCTTGTTCCCTAAGGCCAGTGATAACCCTTCTTCCCAATGCTCCTGTTAGCCCTTTGTTTTGGGAAAACTGGACTAGTCCAGGGGGATAGAGAGAAGGCAAGTGAAAACAAGCACAGAAATAAAAAAGAAAAATAACACATTTATGATACATTCTTTTTTTCTTAAGAAAAGAAAAATACAACTAAAAAGTCAGCGTTGAAAGAAAGCGCTCACAGACATTTGGTGTTTAAGAGGACTAACAAAAAATGGTGTGCACACATGCTCGTCCTAGAAAACCCGAAGCCCTTCCTGTCATTCTCTTGGCAACTGATGAGGTTTTATAAAGGGATTCGAGAAACAGTGATGTGTCTTCGGGTGGATCCTTGTCTTTGTCTGACTTTTGGGACTGTTGTCAGCAGTTACCCTCAAGGCCACCTTTCAAATCACCACACCCCCCGACACTTTTCTTTGCCAGGGCCTGGGTGAGAATACAGGTGTTTTGAGGATGATTTCCATTTGTTTCAGTAGTTCAGCAATTGTTTCTCGGGTGTGTTTCTTTTGAATATACTCTTATGTGCTCTGAATTACACCAGTCTACTTCACCATAGGCTTGTCTGGCTCTAGTTTTAAAAGAAGTCATTGTTAGGGCTTCATGTCATCAGATACTTAGTCCTAAGAAGTATTATGCTTTCAAAATACCACAGTGGTCCAGTTGGTACTCAGTCTTCCTTTAGTCTAAACCAGACCTCAGCTCTTCTCATCCAATACAGACTTGCTGCTTGAGGTCATAGTTTTCACATGCCTCAGCTTCTCTGGGGCCACGATTCATCCTGGTCTCTGTTGGTCAAGGTGCATCAGGGTGACTTAGTCCAGCCCATCATTGGTTCTGGTTATTCTTTTGATCTTGGTATTTTGAAGACTCAGAAAGCACTCAGGAGGTTGGCGGTGTTGACTAAGAGGCAGTGGGTAGTTGACCAGGTACCAGGCTGGTGTAGGAAATGACATTCCCATTTCTTTTCTAGATATTTAATGCTACACAGGAGCTGTCTGACACTGCTGCCTACCAGTCTGTCCGCATCTTCTCCGTATCTCTCCTTCAGGCAGCGGAGGAGCTGGAGGATCTGTCTATGGTGGACTTGGACTGGTCTAAGCCCACCTCGAGTAAGTGATGTCGGCACCATGTGCCCTCTCTTTTACAATGGGCTAGTGTCCTAGGCAGAATCTGTTATCCTGAATTTGGTTCTGATCTGCTTATTGTCAGTCAAGCCTTGCTGTATTCATTTCTTAGTAACTCTCTGCCCCATTCCCAATGGCGACCATTTCACTCATTTCTTCCCAACATTCCCCCAGGCACCTTCCATCTTGCTCTGAGCTGATGACTCCCTCAACTTCACTGCCCCCCACAGAGGCCATTCCGCCAGCATCTCTCTCCAATACTTCCATGCTCTATTCTCTTCTCTTCTTTATTTCTGTGTTAGAGCACAGCTGGTATCCTTTTAGGGCTAACCCTACTATGGGCTCTTTCTGAGGAGGAGTGTTAATGGTACTAGATTCTCAAGGACCCATAAGTGATGGAGAAACCTGCATGCCCTACCAGAGAGCTTTGACTCTGATGATAAGTCCTATGTTTTGGAGGTCTTAGGGGCCTCCCTGGTGGCGCAGCTCTGGTTTGTGAAGCTGCCCGCAGCCTCTGAGATGCCGGTTCGATCCCCAGCTGCTCCCCGGCCACCGGAGGAACGTCCCGCATGGCGCACAGACCTCTCCTGCTGCCCGCTGCTCTCCTCAGCAGTGTACTTCGGTCCTTCTGCCTGCTCTGCTCCCCGCTCTGGCTCTGGTGAATTCTCTCACCCTCCCGCGCTTCTGACTGTACCCAGTGTTTGTATGAATAAATAAATAAATAAATCTTTGAAAAAAAAAAAAAGCAATGTAAGGGATGACCCACCTCCTCACCAAGACCCATCTCATAGCCACAGTTTGTATCCATCTCCTTTTTCCTTGACTCTTTCTTTTAACTGTTTCTCTGAACAGAGAACTTGGGCCATGGAAATTTCGAGTACATGTCAGCAGTGTGCTGGCTCTTTGGGCGTTACCTGTATGACACTCTGCAGTATCCCATTGGGCTGATTGCCTCCTCCTGGGGTGGGACACCCATTGAAGCATGGTCATCTGAAAGGACACTGAAAACCTGTGGGATCTCTGGGAAAAGGTAAGAAAGCACCCTCCAGTCTGGAAGAAAACTCACCAGGAAATTCAGTGAGAGACCAGTATTATGGTCTGCCTTCCAAAGTCAGGTATATGTGAATGTCCAGATATTTAGTGAATGCCTGTAACTGTTCCATGCACAGGTGATATGTTATTTTTACTGTTATCACCACTACACTCATCTAAGAATAATTCAGCATACATAACTGTTCCATGCACAGGTGATATGTTATTTTTACTGTTATCACCACTACACTCATCTAAGAATAGTTCAGCATACAATTGTGATCCTTTTCCTTAATAATAATAATAGGTAATGCCACTGAAAGCTTCCTATGTACCGGATAGGTTGTGTACTTTATTATGTACATTACTTTATGTTGTACTCACAACATTCTCTTGAAGTGTAAATACCATAAACATACTGTGGGTGAAGGTGCTAAGTCTCGGAGAGGTTTAGTGACTTGCTCATGGATCCCACTAGTAAGTGGCCAAGTTTGGCCTCAGCATCTGTGCTTTTAGCCCCTGTGTTCTGTTGCCCACAAGAATAAGCAGTCTAACAGGAAGAACAAATGTACGTGTAATCCAAGAAATACCTTAGCATACTGATTCTGAAAGCACACTTAGAAAAGCTAGATCAGAAAGAATACTTTTAGGGTATGAGGGGAGTGTAGGGCTAGTTATTGAAATCCTGCTACTAATATTAACAGAGATTACCAATATCTAAACTGCTTTCACAGAAATTGCCTCATTAATTCTGGCATGAGGGTGGACTTGTGCTCTGAGTGTAGCTTAGGGAAAGGCTTGTCTGTGGGGAGTGAAGATGTTCAACTTTGGACAGAAGAATGGCCTACTGTAGAGCAGGAGGGATCTAAAGCCAGGTTTCCCACGTCTGGGGCCACGGGCGGGACAATACCCAAGAGTGTGCGGAAGCGAGTATTCTTACGTGCAGCTGCTAAAAGTGTAAATTCGTACACATATTTGACACTTTAGGGACACATTCAAAGCTTTGGAAAAAAATTTGTCTTTTGACCCAGGAGTTTCATTTCTGGCAATTTATCTGAAGGAAATAATTAAGCTTGTATGCAAAAATTAAGCTATATGGAAGGTAACCATGGCATTGCTTATAAAAGTAAAATGCTTTAAAAAGTCTAAGTATCTGCTGAATACTAGTTCAATACATGTATTGGCTAAAGGAGACTCATAGCACACCCCTTCTCTGGTTTTGATGGCCTTGTCTGGAAACTGGGATGACATGCTTGTAACTCACAAAAGCTGATGGATGCACGTCTCCTGGGGAGAACCTGGAGGTGAAATTTGGAGTGGTTCAGTTTAATTCTGTGACGATTTTATTAGCAGTGTACCCTTGGTTCGGTATCAGCACCGCGCAGCTGCCAGCTCTCTCCTGATACTGATGCCTCTTGTTGATTTCAGGTCCACTTCATCTAGTTCTGTACGTGGTCCCCATACTTCCTCTGTCCTCTGGAATGCCATGATCCATCCACTGCATAATATGACTCTGAAAGGGGTGATCTGGTACCAGGGTGAGTGTCCACATGCTATTGCTCCACCGTATCAGTTAATTTTTGCTGCATAAGAAACCACCCCAGAAACTGGAAGTTATCAGGGCAGTTTCTCTGAATGGGTTGCTTCGGCTCATTTCTGTTGGGTTCTGTTATGTGCCTTTGGCAGGTATGGTGGCTGGTGACCTGGGATGGCTTCTCCTTCATGTCTGTTGACTGGGGGCTACATGCTGGGGTACCACACTTCTCATGTGGCTTTTCCTCATTCAGTGAGCTAGTTCAGATTTATTATCAATTGCACAGCAGTCTCAGGCTCCCAGGTGTATCACGAAGGAACAAATGCCAAAGCTGAAGTACTTTTCAAGCCTCTGCTTGTATCATGCTTGCCGAAACTATGGGCTCGAGCAAGTCACAAGGCTGGTCAGAGACCGCAGGAAGGCCCACTAAGGGCATGGATAGGGGTTGGAGAGTAATGTGTGGCTGTTTTTGTGATATACCCCAATACCTCTCATAATTTGGGCTTTTTTTTTTTTTTTTTAGGGGAGGCCAATATGGGTTTTCACAGGGACCTGTACAATTGCCTGTTCCCCGAACTCATTGACGACTGGCGCCTGACTTTCCATCAAGGCTCCCAGGGACAGACAGCGCGTTACTTCCCTTTTGGGTTTGTCCAGGTATGTGCCGAGAGGAGGTTTGTGGGCATGAGTGTGGAAGAGTGTGGTTGAGAGCTCTTCTTGGGAATCCATATTCCTTTCTTTGCTCTCAGCTCCTGCCCGCTGAGGTAGGACTTAATTTATCTGAGCTCACTGATGGTACAATTAAATCTTTTTAAAAGGTCAACAAATAACTAATGTATTTTCTTATTAAAAAACATGATATGGCCATTAAAAAACTATTTAAAGGTAAGCAAAAAAAGAGACGCTCAAAACACTTAAAATCCCACAATCCAGAAATCAGCACTTTTTCTGTTCATGTATTTTTGGAATAGGCTCTGCATCATACCTTACACCATATCTTGCTTTTTCCTTTGTGTCATATTGTGACACAATTTATAATGATGGAAGAGTATTTTGACTTTTGACTGTGTTATCCATAGTTAGGTACTTAGGTTGCTTAGGAAATTTTGCTTTTGCAAGCTGTGGCATGTTTATCTTTCTTGCAGCTAAATCATTGCATACAGACTTGATTATTTCCATAAGACAAATTCCCAAAAGTGAAGTAGCTGGGTTAAATGCAGACTCTTTAAGACTTGGAAACATATTCTCTAAGTTTCACTCTACAGATTTATGAATTTTTATAAATCAATACTCTCCGCAACTCTGTGTGAGAATGTCCACTTCCCGCTCTCCCTGACTTGGGGGTGTTCTTCCACTGTCAAGAACTAACCGTGGGCTCTCATTCCTAGCCCACTGCCTGTGCTGTATGCCTGGAACAGTCTTTCTCAACTTTCCTGTCTAACTTTTCATCATCCTTTAGGTCTCATTCAGCCTAAATTTCTGTTAGAAGCCTCCTGTGACTCTCCAGAATCTGGGAGAGAGCCCCTTCCCCAGTTACCTTCCTCTTTATTCATAGGCAGTTGTGTACAAGACCATCTTTTTGGGGAACACATTATATAACCTCATAGGTTGGCACTCATTAAATGTGACTGAACAGGGCCTCCCCGGTAGCGCAGCGGTTGAGCGCTGGGCTGCGAAGCTGCCCGCAGCCTCTGCAGTGCCGGTTCTATCCCCAGCTGCCAGGCGAGGGTCCCACATGGCACGCAGACCTCTCCTGCCACCCACTGCTCCCCTCAGCAGTGTATTTCATCAGACTGCCTGCTCTGCTCAACCCTCTGGCTCTCGTGGATTCTCTCACCCTCCCGCGCTTCTGACTGTACCCAGTGCTTGTATAAATAAATAAATAAATCTTTAAAAAAAAATGAGACTGAACACAAAAGGAAAAATATATCAAGGAAAACCATGCTTTTGGTGAAAATTCAAGAGGCATTTCATGATAACATTATATAAGCGTCATTGAAAATCAACATGTGTGTGTACTACATTAAGTTCACCACTGAAAGTCCAATTTATCCTTCACCATGCAGTTGTCCCCTTAGTCTTGATTTACTCATCCCCAAGACCCTTCCCGCTTCCCTGCTGGTAACCACTAATTGGTCTTATAGTCTAAACATTTATTTTTGTTGTATTTAGTTCATCTGTTTGTTTGTTTTCTCTACATACTGCATATGAGCAAGAAACTAGTTTTTTTTTTTTTTAAAGATTTATTCATTTATTTGTTTGTTTGTTTGTTTATACATACAAGCACTGGGTACAGTCAGAAGCGCGGGAGGGTGAGAGAATTCACCAGAGCCAGAGCGGGGAGCAGAGCAGGCAGAAGGACCGAAGTACACTGCTGAGGGGACCAGCGGGCGGCAGGAGAGGTCTGCGCACCATGTGGGACCCTCCTCCGGTGGCCGGGGAGCAGCCGGGGATTGAACCGGTGCTGCAGAGGCCGTGGGCATCTTCGCAACCCAGCGCCCAACTGCTGCTCCACCGGGGAAGCCCAAGAAACTGCTTTTAATTAGGTGCAACTAGTCAGAAATATTCTTCTCTTAGCCTTGCTAGAAGGAATAAATATATTTAACCAAGTTCATAATTGACTTGCCTCATGTGTTCATAGGATTCCTGCAAGACCTAGATTTTTTAGCAGGGTGGTAGTTCTGACTTTTCTGGAACATGGGCAATACAACCAGTGAGGTTTGTGAAAACAAGGTCCGATTCACAATAATAATGGAATAGCTGTAACAGCTGAGTTGGATGTAAGCCTTTCGGCCATCTGCCTGTGCTTGTCACACACACCCCTTCTCGCCACGCTCCTGTGTTCTCTGCCTTCCATTTCACCATGCTTTCTTTGGATAAAGATTTTTAGAGCTCTCCTTCCCACTTATCATTACTTCATGATCATTTTTTCCTTCTTTCTTATGTTTGACTTTGAAACAAGATTATTCTGCTCATTATTTTCAAAATAGCAACTTCTGTCACAGATTCTGTATTATTGCTGGCAGGAAATACATTTGGACTTTTCAGGTACTTCTTTGTGTTTCTTTACCTGTGAACATGGTGATTTGAATGTGACATCAGGAAATTCAAACCAAAAGTTTGTGCTGAAGGCTTACTGTGTGCCATGAGCTGTGTGAAGTGCTAGAAAGGGGGAACTGGTCCTTGAATGTAGGCTGAGTCCCCTCGCCTCTGGGTTTAACTGTCACCACCAACATATGTAGGTGGATTACTTGTAGAAAACTGGAAACAAAAAATACACCTTCAGTGGGATAGATGCCAGATACAAAATCCAAATAACACAACATACTGGTTTTGAGTAGATCTGTATTCAGATCCACTCTGATTCTTTAGCTGTGTGATTCTGAATAAGATACTGTTGTTTGTTATTTTAAGCATTGATTGAGTTAATCTATGTAAAACCTGGCACATGTTGGTAATATTAGTGTTTATTATGATTAGTGAGAGAAGCCAGAAAGCCTGGAGGGACAGTTGGTCTTTAAAGAAAGATGAATTGAATTTTTAGAGGTGTCGAGTTTGAAACGATGGTTGAAATAACTGGAGCACAGTGAGAGATATAGGACTGAAGATCAGTGGTGAGGCAGGCCTATTTTATTAGTACCTCAGAGTTATTAGCAGACAGGAGATCTGCAGAGCAGGAGAGAAAGAGCAGGAGGCTGGGCACTGGAGTCCCTCCCTAGTAGTATGCTCCCTAAAAAGGGGTCTGGAGGAACATTGGAACAGACTGCAAACCACAGTGTTATTGGAAAGTCACGTGAATGTGGCCACTTTCATGTTTTTTGACTATTACATTGCCTTCACTAGTAGCACTACTTCTACTCATCACTGTGGGAGACTGAATGGAACCCTATTCTGGCAAATTAGGAAAAACACTGATATTTCATTTGGGTTTGGAGTGTGCTTGCACCCCCACGTGGCCAGTATGTAGTAGTGCAATCAGAGAAATAGAGGACAGAATTGTTGCCCCCAAGTCTCAGCAAACTGCCATTTTGAGACAAGTTGGTTGGCCTGAGCGGCCTAACAAGCATTTCTCCTGGTTGTGCTTCAGGCTAGTGCTCGCCCTAAACTCTTTCTGGTAGCTTTGCTGCTGTGAGCCTCATCTTGGCACTGGCTGGTGAACATGGTTCCAGGTTCAGTCTTCTAGCTGATGTGTGGGAAGAAATAGGATTACTCACTGGCTCTTTTTATTCCTACCTTCTAGTTTTCACCAGATTCCATTGTAAAACGTCACCATCTTTTATCATTTCATATGTTAAATCTGATTTGCATTTGAGATTTTAACAAGAGAATTGGAAATGTCTCTTAGTTCCATAGCATCTCAGGACTCCTTCCTGCTACAACTGCATCCTCTCCACTTTTTCCCTGACGATTTCCTGGTCTTTACGGAGCAAACCAAGAAGCAAAACATTCCTCTAGCGCTTCATTTGACCATGTTTGTAGGGATAACTAGGCGCTCTTCACAATGGAGCGCCTCTTGATAGGGACTGAAGTTTTGAAATGGAGTCCAAAGATGAGGTGTTTGCTGACCTTGACTGTTCCCCACATTGTGGTTTGACTTAACTGGCTACAAGTAGGGTTCAGAATAAAATGCTACCGAAATCAGAGAACAGGGTGATGTAAACATTGGAGATAGAAGGAAGGAAGACATGGTGGACCACGTGCATCACAGTAATAGTGAGGAATCCTTCTAGGGGCCTCTGCCCTTCCCAGGAGTAGGAATCTTTGAAATTTCAGGCTAGATGGAAGCAAATCCTGTTTTACTGAAGATGTATGCAGACTCTGGCCTCTTCTCACGACTTGTACTGCTCCTACACTATTGTACGCCTCCCTCCTCTCTTCCTTCAATTATTGCCTCTTTTCTGCTCTTCCTGCTGCTACTTTTCTCCCCTTTTGGAGATGCTCAGTGTATCAGCTAAGCTGTTCTTTTGACATGCAAGTCATATCAGAAAGGCTCCAGTGGCTCCTCCATATGGCTGAGGTCCACAAAGCCATACAGGGTCTGCCCTGTCCCCTGTATCCCACCATCTCATCTCCTAGTTTTCTTCACCTCATTTTCTCTACTGCAGTCACCCTGGCTGCCTCATTTTCTTTAAGCACACATGCTCCTACTTTAGGACCTGCCAATATTTTCCTTCTGCCTGAAAGAGTTTTCTTTAGTCATGTAGTTTTCTATTGCTGTGTAACTACCTACTGTGTATCTAGCAGTAGCTTAAAACACCACCACACACACTGATTGTCTCACTGTTTCTGTGGCGAGGGGACTGAGCTGCCTGGCTTGGCTGAGTCCTCTGTGCAGGGGACTGGAGGTGAGTGCTGGATATCATCGGAGGTGCGGGGTTTTCTTTCAAGCACACGTGGCTATTGGCAGAATTCATTTCCCTGAAGCTGAAGAACTCATGGCAACTGACTTCTTGAAGGCCACCACGGGTCTCTGATTCTTCCTTCAATGGCTTTCATGACTGGGTTGGGCTCATCACCATTTTTTTTTTGGCTATCTTGACATCAGTGGAGAAGGTACCTTACAGCTGCAAAATCCCAAGCAGATCATTCAGATGTTACAATCTGAGTGATGGCTCTTATCCTTCTTCTTGTGCCCCATCCATGTCCACTTGGCTGCCTAGTTTGTCAGTTTATCCTTTAAATTTCTAACCACCCCATTCCCACTGCTGTACTTGGTTAGATCTTTTTTGCCTGTTTCTGGAAGATTTGAGTAGCTTCTTAACTAATCCGTCTCTCTGCTTTCAGCCTTTTTTTCTTCACAGAACCTTTTGTATGATCACTTGATGACTCTTCTGAAATAGTCCTTTTATCATGTCAGTAACTTCAGTGGCTCTCTAGTTTTTAAATTGAGGTGAAATTCACATAATAGAGCATTAACTATTTTTAAGTGTTCAGTTCAGTGGCAATTAGTACATTCATGATGTTCTGCAGCCATCACCTCTAGGGTGGCTCCCTAGATCTTATAGAATAAAGTGTGAGTTCTGTCCACACGCTGGCCTCACCATCTTTCTCACCTTGTCTTCCCCCCATAATCCTTCAGCGCAGCTAGATGACTGTCTCTCTCTTACCCTCTTACCTTTGCATCTTAGAAGACTATGACATATAAAATATGTACAGTTCTATTTGTAGTGACATCTCATATTTTCTGTGTCCACTCCAATTTGTTTTTTACATATTCTGAAGCCTTGTTTTCTTATAATAAACTTTGTTCTAAATGTAGAATACTTACCTTCCATGCCACCAATATAGCATTTAATCTACATTGTTTTTTATACTGTTTGTTAGCTTTTCTTATGTGTGGGTCTGTCTCCCCAACAAGGCTGTGAAATTACTTGTACAGTTAACTACTGTCATGTCACAGACCCCCTCAGCCATGTGCTCCATGACCAGACATAACGCCTGTTCCTATATGACATGTGTCTGGGGAGCTGAAGGTGGTTGGTTTTGGCTGTCTCCCCTAGGCTCTTTCATCTCTCTGTGGGTCGGCTGTTGGGGGCGCTGCTCCCAACACTGGACTAAACCTATGTCCTTTCCCAGGTTAGTGGGGTAGCGCAGACATGTTAGTCTCCTGGTGATGGAAAAGAGCCACTGGAACGATGAAAGGGGTCCGAGGTCTGGGCTGGACATCGACAACCTGAACTGCTTTTCCAGTGGTTGGCCAAAGTAAACCATGTGGCTGAGCTCAGAATCAAGTGGTGGGGACACACTCGCTTTATGGGGGAAATCACAAGCCAGATGGCAAGAGTGTGTGGCTAGAAGAAATGGAAGAATTGGGACCCCTGATCCCCTATGCTAAGGGCAGGCTGCTCTCTGCCCTGCCCTGTGTTGTAGGGTGATGAGCTGCTTAATAACATTTCGGCCAATGACAAGCTGTGTTTACATTGGTGGCCCTGGCATTCCTATCGCCCAGGGACATAGCCGTCTGAACATATTGCCATCTAGTGTAGTGAGCTCTCTGTGGCGGTAGTCTCACGCTTATTGTGTTTGTTGCATCTCTTGATAGTATCCTCTCCCCTGGTGCTGGGTTTAATCTCGTGTTGTTTTCATCATCGTGGTGGCCACTGAGTGCACAAATCCACTGCTGATGTTGCACACTCATCCACATATCTCTGAAAGTATCCCCATGGTTAAAGTAAAGATACCCTCATTGTTTAGTGATGCCTGACTGTATACAGATATATCAGTTACCTATAGCCTTGCAACAAATTGCCCCAAAGCTTAGTGGCTCAAAATCAGCCATTTTATTCATGATTCCATGGGTTGGCCAGGCAGGTCTCAAATGGGGTGGCTTACCTGTGCTCCAGGTGACACCAGCTGGGCTTGCTCACCTCGCTGCTGTGTTGCACTGAAGGACCCAGAGTTCACCACTGAACCCTTAGCTGGGATTTCTGGGGCCTTTAATGCCTCTCTCACCTCATAATCGCCCCATTTCCAAGACCCCTCTCTCTGTATAATTTCTCCAGCAGGGTTGTTGGATTTTTTTTTAAAGATTTATTTATTCATGTATACAAGAACCGAGGTATAGGCAAGATATGCGAGAGGGTGAGAGGATTCACCAGAGACAGAGTGGGGAGCAGAACAGGCAGACTGACTGAAATACACTGCTGAGGGGAGCAGCAGGTGAGACAGGAGAGGTCTGCCGCGCCATGTGGGTATCCCCCCCAGCCAGCTGGTATCGAATCCGTGCTGCAGAGGCTGAGGACAGCTTCACAGCGCTGTGCTCAACCGCCTGCGCCACCAGGGAGGCCCTGGTCATTGGATTTTTTTTTTAAGCGTTGTCACAAGGTTCTAAAAGAATGAAGTCAAAGGCAAGAGCTTTGCAAAAAGCAAAGACTCAGGAACAGCCCAACATTGCTTCTCTGTTCTTTGGGTCAGAGAAGATCACAGGCTTAGCCTAGATTCAGTGGGAGGAGAGATGGACTCCACCTTTCCCATGAGAGCAGCAGCAGAACTCCCTGCAGCAGACGGGATGAAAGGTCTCTGCCCTGGCAGGAAGTGTCATTCTAACTTGGTAAATACTTGTGGAGTGAATGTTTGAGCCAAGAATGAAGCAGCAGCAGGGTCTGCTTATGAGAAAGGAACCCCTATAGATTCTGCTGCAATGTCACTCTGACACAGCATTCTCTGTTTTCTAGTTATCTTCGTACTTGCGTGGTGCAACCCCAGATGATCAGTGTCCTGAGATCCGCTGGCATCAAACAGCTGACTTTGGTTATGTCCCCAACCAGAGGATGCCCAACACCTTCATGGCTGTAGCTATGGATCTGGGTGACAGAAACTCGCCTTTTGACAGGTACAAGTCCTTCCCGGCTTTGCTTAAACAGCGTTTGCTCTTTGTAGCCTTCTCTCTGATGTTTGCTGTGCGGGAGTAGAGTATGTAGTCTGAGGTTTGGAGCGTAGAAGGATTATCTGTCAATCGTTTATACTGGGATGTGGCAGTAATAAAAAAAAAGCCCTCAACATCTCAATGGCTTGACATAACAAAAGTTTACTTCTCATTCACACTGTGTCCAGAGATGGTCCACGGAGAGGCTTTGCTCATCAAGGTCATTCATAGATCCAGAACAACAGAGGCTGCAATTGATCTGTGCTTTCTTTCACTCATCTCAGTGTCTCACACTGACATTAAATGCTTCCATCTGGAGGTAGCAAATGCCACTTCCACTCACCTCACATTGGCCAAAACACATGCTCTGGGGAGGCCTAGCTGCTGCTAGAGCCGAAAGTGCTACCAGGGATGCAAAGGAAGAGTGGTGGAATATTTGTGAGCAGCCCTGAGGACTACCCTGCATGAACTGTTAAAATAGGAGGGGATTTCAGATGTGAAAAGGAGACTGATGCGTCCTGAGTGTCTGGACTATAGTAAGATCATAAACAAATATTTATTTTTGAATATTTATTGAGTGAATGAATAAAACCTAGAGGAAACCAAATAATGAGCTGCTGATTCTAATAAAACAAAGGAATTTAATAGTCTTATGAGTTAGCTCTCCTGGTCAGTCAGTGAATCCTTCTTTCTTCCCTCTCTCCCTCCCTCCCTTTTATCTTTTTCATCCAAGTTATCTGTTATTTTGAGGTTTACAGCCCTTAGAAAGAACCAAAGCCCCAGCCGTGGTTACCATTTGCCATGTCTCTTAAGGTGACTCCCCAGGATCGCTGCCCCTGAGAGTCTGTCAACTTGATTTTCACCTCTTCAAGGCACTTTGTATAATAGCCCCCACCCCTGCCCTTTTAAAGATGTGTTTATTCTTGAGCTCAAAGCCAAAGTTCCTGACTTGTTCTTTATCCTGTAGCATCCACCCTCGAGATAAACAGACTGTGGCCTATAGGCTGCACTTGGGGGCACGCGCTGTGGCTTATGGTGAGAAACTGATGTTTCAAGGACCAATGCCTGAGGACATAGAACTCTTGGCTGACAAGGGGCTGCTCAACCTGACATATTCTCAGCAAATCCAGGTGAAGAGGAAGGACGAGAAGATATTTACGGTGAGAATAACAGAATAAAATAGGGATTCATTTTGTGTTGGGAGTAAGTAAGTGAACCCTTTCTTCCCTTCTTCCCTCCCTTTTATCTTTTTCTTACAAGTCATCTGTTATTCCAAGGTTTCCAACCCTTAGAAGAACCAGAGCCCCATCTATGGCTACCATTTCCTCTTCTCTCCCCCTCTCATCTCTCCCTCCCCAGGCCCATCTCTTTAATTAATTAATTAAAATTTAAAAAGATTTATTTATTTATTTATTTATACAAGAACCGGGGTACAGGCCAGATGCACGGGAGGGTGAGAGGATTCACCAGAGACAGAGCGGGGAGCAGAACAGGCAGACTGACGAAGTACACTGCTGAGGGGAGCAGCGAGTGAGACAGGAGAGGTCTGCTGCATCATGTGGGACCCTCGCTGGCCGGCCAGGATCGAACCCGCGCTGCTGAGGCTGAGGACAGCTTCACAGTGCTGCGCTTAACCGCCTGCACTACCAGGGGAGGCCCCCATCTCTTTAATTTATAATATTACCATGAGGCAGGTCTTTGTTGGTGGAATCTGAGTTTATCTCAGAGGGGCAAATAAGCAGCTATTAATTCACTTGCTGAGGCAAATTTTGATAGGACAATGAAAGAAGGAAAAATGAGACCATATTAAAACGATACAAGACCTTGAACGTCAGGTCTTGTCACGGTACTCTGGCTGCTCTTTGCTATGCCTGGACCACGTGGCCTTCTGAATATAAACAGTGTCCCCTGTACCATCGCACCAGAGTTGGGGCGGCATTAAATAAATAATGTATAAATAAATAAATAAATATTTAAATAAATAAATTAAATTTAAATAAATAAATAAACAATTTATTTATTTATTTATAAATAAATAAATCTTTTATATGTGGAGGCATTCCTGGATAGAACATAGAAATGAGTGTCTGGGAACCACCAGATCAACTGGTTTGGGGATGTGTGAAAAGAAGTCATTAGGAGAGATGAGAGAATATAAAGACAAACTTTAATTACACAGGAAGTAACCTAGTGTTGTTCCTCCTCCAGAATCCTAACCGTGGTACCCACAGGCCTCAGGTGTTTGTCAGCCCTTACCCCACTTAGCTTTCTGGATACTGGGTTTCAGGTGAATTCTAGCCCAAGAAGCCACTGCACTCTGAGTTCTCCCTCCCCTTTTGTCAGTGCTGGGTGTGCCCGTCCTTCTGGACCCAGATAAGGTTGAGGTACCCCCGTGAGTAGTGGATAATTTACGTTCTCCCCCTGGACTGCTTTCCCACTTGAGAAAGGCCTGTTATCCAGGTGTCTTGCACCCCTTCTTCGTTCTTCAGCTCCTCGGAAGTGCCAGAGCGGTCACAGGAGCTGAATTGCTTGGCTCACTTAGTCCCTGCCTGCTTTGTCATCTGGGGGGAGGGACCAAGCACGAAAGTCCCGGGGAGCCACATGCTCTCTGTGATGGTTTTCTTGTCTCCCTCAGTAATTTAATGGCTTATTTATTGATTTATCTTATAAACATTTATGAACCTATGACTCTGCTGACCAGACCCAATCTGGCCTCAGGGTTCTTCTGGCTCTTGCAGGAAATGGGTCCGTGGCTGACAGTGGCTCCTTCTCTTCCTTTGAGCTTGTCTGCAAGAGCAGTTCCCAGCCTTGTCTGAATGCCTTCTGAATGACTGATCACTCCTATTTTATGATTCTGTTACTAGATCTCATGCTGTGATGACCATCAATGCAAGTGGCTACCGGCTCCCATGGACACTTTCTCCACTCAAACCCTGACCTTGAACGTCAGGTCTTGTCACGGTACTCTGGCTGCTCTTCGCTATGCCTGGACCACGTGGCCTTGTGAATATAAACAGTGTCCCCTGTACCATCCCACCAGTACCCTGCCGGCTCCTCCCTTCTTTGCTCCCCTTGCGAAGCAGATTCCTGAAGAACATGAAAGGTTCCTAAAAATTTAGTTGCAGAGTATCTCAGACATAGTGGGGATCCTTCATATTTGGGCATTTAGGAATTTAAATGATGAAAACTTCTGTTTTTAAAGGAAATGAAAGAAAGGTCTCTTTGGACAACTGGCTTACAAATTGTTATTTCTGTATTCTGAGATGAGTCAGGGCTGGCAGGTAAGTGCAGTGCTGGCATTTTGTCCCCTCATTAGGCCAGGACTGGGCTAATTATGAATTGCAAATTAATTGAAGCTAAATGGCGTTCATTTCCGTCATTATTGGGAGTGCAATGTCTGATACTTTTGTTCCCTTACATCCAGAATTGTGGAAACTCAGAGTTGGAAGAGATTTTAAGGCCAAAAAGGCCAACTAGTATTTATGTGTACTTTATAAAATCTGCCAGTTAAGTTTCCATTCTTAACATCCCAAGTTCTTCCTATGGTGGAATCATATCCTTCTGTTACACTGCAGTCTTTTGTTTGTGCTGTTGTGCTCTAAACCAGACAATTCCATTCCTCTAATTTAAATAATAATGGGAAAGTTTAAACCAGGAGCACATTACAGGCATTTTGGAAGGTGCAAAGAGACTGCATGACTGGGTGAAGAGAAAGGGTGAGGGGCTGGTGGCTGGTGAAGACACCCAGGCTAGCAGTGACAGGAGTATGTGAGTCACAGGCTTAGAAAACCATGACAATAGAGGGCACTGAGAAGCAAACAGGTCCTTAGAGTTTATGATAAATCTCAGGCTCTTTCAAGTTAAGAGGTTTAAAGGATAATCCAGAAGGAAGAAAAGAGTGGGGCAGAGCTCAGAAAATTAATCTGGATGGGACAAATGTGAAAGGGATTCTGTCTACTAAGAATCATCATGTGGCTTATTGATTGATTAGAAATGGCTAGTGGCACTTAATAATTGTGTGTTGTCTATTTGAAGCTGGAAATCCTTAGTGACGTGTATACATTTATATCTGGTCAAAACTGGGTTAGGAATGGGGCTTGCAAACTGTGCTTTGAAGCATGAGAAAGAAGTAAGACTTATCTATAGGTAGCTTCCCTTCCTTTACTGTGGATAAGAGAGTAAAATAGGAAGGCATCATTCTCCACATTTGTCTGCCACCCGTCCTGGTGTAGCTCCAAACAGCAGGAAGAACTGTCATTGCCAGAATTTTATTTAGTAAAAAGTTAAAACAACTGTGCTGGCTGCAAGGAACTTTGGCTCCTCTCCTACTTGGACTGCTGATATGCCTGGTCTAATGGGATCATGAATTCAGTAAGAGACTCCTGTGCATCCCCCTGAACCCGATACACATAAACCCATATTGCGTGTTCCCTTTTACCCCAGGAAGCTAGTGGGCAGTGTGAAAAACTAAGTTTAAAGTAGTGGACACATAGATCAAAAGCCACGTGACATTTATTTTTTTAAGTGAAACTTTTTTTTTTTAAAGATTTATTTATTTATTGATACAAGCACTGGGTACAGTCAGAAACGCAGGAGGGTGAGAGAATTCACCAGAGCCAGAGCGGGGAGTAGAGCAGGCAGAAGGACCGAAGTACACTGCTGAGGGGAGCAGCGGGCGGCAGGAGAGGTCTGTTGCGCCATGTGGGACCCTCCCCCGGTGGCCGGGGAGCAGCCGGGGATCGAACCGGTACTGCAGAGGCAGCAGGCAGCTTGCAACCCAGCGCTCAACCACTGCACCACCGGGGAGGCCCACGTGACATTTATTTTTAATGACTGAATACAACATTCTATGGGAATTCAGTTTATTTCCCAAATGAATATAACTTTTTACTGTTGGAAAAATGAAATTTATTTCGTCAAAGACTTGGACACTTAACAAACAAAAATATAAGAAGTAGAAATCAGCTCCAAATTGATCATTTAGAGAAAAACAATTATTTTGGGAACATATACTTGGTTTGTATTCATGGCAATTTTGTAACCTGTGTCTTTTGACTTATTCTAGAAAAGTACTTTTCCTTATGAAAATTGAAGATAAATTCATGGTTGGTTTGTGGGAACCCCATAACTTTAGTTAACTTGTCATCAGTGGATGTTTTTCTCCCAATTTTTTACTGTTAAATAAATCAATATGGTATTAACTCTTACGTGCAAACATCCCATCATACTTATTACCTTGGAGCCCTTAATGTGGAATAACAAGCTTAAGGATGTTTAAAATTTTCATCCCTGTATCATAACCCTCCCAAAGGGTTAAACAGTTTACATTCCCACCAAGGTACAGTCCCAATTTTTCTCTCCACATTGAAACTGGATGTTGTCAAAAAAAAAAAAATAAAATCCAAAGATGAAAACATCTTTTAAGTATATGGAACAGTGTTTTTCAGGACAATGATCCATAGTAAAAATAATTATCCCACGTATCCTCATACGTGTGCATTTGTGACACACACACACATGCATATATACACACATTACATTTAAAACCAAAATGTCAACCTTTTGACATGTCATGCATTCCAATGTATTCTAATTGTTTTCATTTTAAAAGATGTAGGTCTTTATTTCCTGTTTAATAACCAATGGGTTGAGAGCTATAGTTTGAAACACACTGTATGAAAGCTACAAAGTAAATACTCTTCTTAAAGAAAACAGTCCACTTATTAAAAAAATTCAAATGTCTTAAAATAAAGCTCTCTTCTATTATGTTTTAATCAGGCTATAATAGAATACTTGCTATATGATAAAAGCAGCACGTATCATTTCCGTGTTAAGTGCAAATATGTTCAGGCAATTTATGCAGAGGAAAAAAAAGGCAAAAATAACCCATTAAAATATAAACAGCTTTGAGTAATCTGCTTCCCATTTGATTTGCTATTATTCAAATTTTATTAATGACTTTTTACACCTCAAAAGTATACAAACTTGTAAGACTCTTTAAGAGTCATCAAATTAATACTAGTGATTTTAGTTTCTGATACTTGATAGCGGCCCGTGTGGAGTGCCTCCAATGCTGCCTCTGATTCCCTCCACCCTCTGGCCAGATTTTTCTTCTAAAAGGCTCATCCTGTTTGTGCTGTCCCTCTGCAGTCATGGATTGGGGCACATTTACATCCAGCTCTCACTACTCCTTCCCCGTTCCTCTACTTCTTGGGTTCTTCGATGCCTTTCTATTCCAGCCAGCTCTGGCACCTGGCTGGATGGGGAGTGTGGAGTTGAATGGGCTGACCAGGTGCTGTGGTAAACCTCTGCCTTGATGTCATAAGCGGTTGATGTTATATTCAGTTGCATAGGAGGAGGAGTTCATTTCTTTAACACGACTAATAAAATGACGGGGTGGGTCTGAGGATGGGAACCATCCCCAATAATGTTTTATCTAAATTTGTGTTATGCGGTTTCAGTGTATTTAGCTAACGGTATATTTTCCAACGAGGAGCCACAAAGGAATGTAGAATGGTTTAAAGAGGACTTTTATCCCCTTGATGGATGTGTGAAATGTGAAGACAAAGAGGGCTTTGTACTGGACTCTCCAGCCTGGGGATGAGCAGGATTTGATTTTCATGATACTGACATGAAGGTAAAGTCGCAGCCTGGGTTGCAGGGGTGGGTCTTTAATAGTCATTGAGTGAGGATCAGAATCAAGGGTAGAAGGTGGTCAGAATCTTAGTCCCCCCTTCGTGGGCCGGCAGTCATCTCACTCTGGTTTAGAGGAGACGTTAAGTGTACTCTACCTCAGGCAGAGCTAAGCAAAAAAAAAAAAAAAAAAAAAAAAAAAAGATACCCTGATTACAACAAGATGAAAATAAGCAGACTTGTCAAGAGAAATTTATTACTAAAAATAAAGCAGCTTAAGTTTTCCCCAGGGAAAACTGTCACCAAGGGAACCTCCACGACAAAATGTATTAATTAATATCTTCTTCACTCCTGAACGGCTGCAGGCACTCCTGTGCCTTCTTCCACATATCCTAAGTTTTATTTTAAGTTAAAATGGATCATGATGAAAATGATGTGGTATCTGGTCCATTCTCGTTCAGTCCGAGGACTGAGTTGGGCTACATTGTGACGGAGACTTCAAGTGCTGTAGGTGAGTGTCTACCAAGGGTTCGTGTGTCAGGAACATGGTTTGGTAAGATGACACAAAGGGTGTAGGATGAAGCTCTGGGAGGTCCAAGGATCCTGGAGAAAAAAATGCCTTAAATTCCATTGTTGCCTGGGAATCTCAGGAGACTGGCTTGATCAGACAAATCTCCTTAATATCCTTGCATCTGTGAGCCCAATTTTGCCCTTGTTTGGTAAGAGAGGACAGATAGTTTCTTTTACAATGAAGAAAACTGGCTGCAACAGATTAAGTGACTTGCCTGGGGTTCAAGAATATATTAGGCAGAGTAAGATTTTAACTCTGTTTTTTTTTTTCATTTCTAGTCCAGAGCTCTCACTATATGACCCCGATGTCCTGATCACTCCAACCATTTCTGGGAAGGAATTCATGGGGCCATGACCTGCTCCCCCTTACTGCATTTGAAATGTTAGCCCTGCATAGTAATTCTCCCCAGGAGTTCTGCTTATGTCTTATTTAGGTTAGAAAATGAGAAGCCCCAGTTTTTTACTGGCCCTGCCTTACTATGGTTGCAGCCACTCCCTGTGACTTCTGGAAGGATGGCTGGAGAGCTATGAAGGGCAGATCCTCCTGACTCCATGGTGGGAGCAGAGAAGGCTCTATTACACTATAGATATTTGGGGTACTGAGGTATGAATAAAGAGTGGGGTAGCCTCAAAGTGCTCAGTTTTCAAACCAGAAGGGTAAAATTAAAGCTACCTTGCAGAATGGGATCATTATGATCTTCCTCATAGGTCTCTTTCTGAAAGGCTTCAAAACTTATAGTTGCATCATTCTCTGGCAGTCCTGGGGGTAACTGCCCATCTCCAGGTTTGCACACATCAAATTTCACCCACTGGTAACTGCAGGATCAAAAGGAATCATTATCTAGAGCTGTCAGCCATAATAACCCATTCTTATTCCAAAGAAATCTGATTTTTTTAGATCTCACCCATTATTTAAAAAAATACATTAACTAACAAAAACAACCTAAAGAAGAAAAGACCTTCTTTAATGACAACTCAGTTTACAGGATTTCTCAACCCTTCTGCTGTCACGGTACACAGAGAAGACAAAAATTATTGTACAGTGGGGGTACTGGCTCCTCCTCACCTATCCAGAGGGCCAAGCAGAGCAATTCTGAGGCACGCAGTGGAGGAGCAAGCATGTGGGGCGCACACAGACAGTTCAGCATGGGCAAAGCAGTAACTGCCAGTTCAGGACCCTGGCTAACAGATCACAGAGCTTCTCTGGAGGGAATGGATCTGATCACACTTACTTGATGCATTTTCGAGCTCCTGGACAACTCTGGATCAGGTTGTGGATGGTTGGATGAGAAAACCCAAAAAAGTCAGCTCCAGATGGAAGCAGGTTGGGCATTAATTTCCCCCTAAACAGGAGAGGGAGAATTTTAGTGTGAGAGCTGAGAGGGAGATGAGATGGATTTAGAAATGCAATGTGGGCATGAGCACATAACACACAACAGCTTTCTTGACTTGGATCCTCTGGAGATGCTAGCTGCTGAGACAGCCAAAGAATGCGGGACCGCTTTCTAAGAAGTAAGGGCTCTCCATTAGGTGAGAGAGAAAAGGTCTCTGTACCAGAAGTGATCTTTTAAGCTTTTCTTCAAGTCCTTGGTCAACTTACATTGTCGTACTTATGGTCTTGAGCAGTTCTGCGTGACAGGCATCTGCAGAAGTACTGACAATGGCATTCTGGGGGTCATCTTCAGGAACGATTTCAAACTGAGAAAGAGAAAGGAGCAATCAGATCAATCTCTCTCTTTTTTTTTAAGATTTATTTATTTATACAAGAGCTGGGGTACAAGCCAGAGGCATGGGAGGGTGAGAGGATTCACCAGAGACAGAGCGGGGAGCAGAAAGACGACTGAAAGCACTGCTGAGGGGAGCAGTGGGCAAGACAGGAGATGTCTGCTGTGCCATGTGGGTATCTCCCTGGCAGGCCGGTAAGCGAACCTGCGCTGCAGAGGCTACGGACAGCTTCACAGCATTGCGCTCAAACCACTGTGCCACTGGGGAGGCCAATCTTTAAGGAGGCAGGAGTGGAGAAAGCATTAGAGAAAAGTCACACTATTCCTATAACTCCTTCTCCACTCTGGAACTTGAAGCTGCTATGTGTCACACTAGGAGATGGGTACAATTTCTGAAAGCACTATTAAAAATTCAAGCAAATCCAAAAGAAAACAGCAAGTCCTTTGCTTTGATACTTTATAAAGTAGGTACTGTATAATTACCCTTTGGATAACTCCAAGATGCAGAAAAGTAACTGACCTTACGTCACACCTCAGCTAACAAGTGATTAAACTGGGTTGTCTTAATTCTCAGACTGATGATGCCCTTTGCCCTGAACCATGTTGCTTCTGCTTTGGATACAATGACCAGGTGAGGCCTGATCATATCCCTTACATGTAAAGTGCAAGCCCACACACAGGGAAGATTGGTTTGCTATTTGGGGTTAAGATCAAAATGGAGGTAGCAAAGAGACTGCATGTTGGTTTCTGAGACTCTTCAGGACCTGGGAGACCAGTATCCTAGTCTTAAACCTTTATTCATCCTTCCCACTACCATAATTCAAGGCAGTTTTTTCCCCAGCCATCACCTTCACCTCTGATTGTTAGGGAAAAAAGACCATTTTCACCATAAAACTTGGCCAGAAAGAGGTAGAGGCAAAGTAAGGAACCTTGGATCAGAAGCTGAGCAAAGCCTAACTTGTGTAGCTAATACTACATATGTATTAAGTGACTGTTACAGGTTCTCAATTTAAAAAAATAAAGAAGAAAAACAGTGGTTCTTAGTAGAGTGGTACCTGAGGCTGCATACCACCATCCTTGATCTGACAGGTATAGAGACACTTCTGGTCTGGGCACTTCATGCTGGCGTATACTCGAGTACTGCAGTAGCCCACAGGATAGATGGCACTCTCATCATGGAAGCCAGGTCGGTCGGTGATGATCTGTAAAAGATTCCCCCCACCTGTGGTTGAAGACACTGGCGAATTTAGAACTGGGCATCTTTAGAACCACGTTGGGGCTGCAAAGAGTGACTCAATTTGTACATAGAGAGCACAGGCTGTGTAGCAGAACAAATCTGACCTGGTTTCCTAGGGATCAGAGATTTTCTGGGGTTGGTTTGGATCAGCAAAGGGCTGCTGCTAATGGGAACAGGGAGGGAAGGCTCAACCCCATTATGCCCATATTTCTGATTCTCCTCTCTGAGTATCGCTGGTCTCACTCACCTCCCCCAGGCTATAAACTGTTAGACCCCCCAGTCCGATGGGGAACACAGGCCGTCCTGAGGGATCCAGGGCAATGGGCTGAACCAGCTTGCGAGCACCTCCCTCCATTTTCTTTTTCTTGGTTGTTTTCTTCAGAACTGAAACGCAAATCTGGGGTCACCCACTTTAAGCCCCTCTCAAAGCTGAGGGAAAGGGAAAAATGTACCCATGAAAGCGAAGAGTAATAAGCCCATCTTGGTTCTACACTCACTGAATGGGCACATGGGACTTTGCCCCAAAGCCCGAGTATCTTTCTAACCCACCCACCTGGCAGTGACCAGTTCAGTATCAGTGTTTAAGACTTAAGTCTTATACCTTTTTAAAGGCTTCTTACTTCCTTTACAAAATCAGAAATTTCCCAAGTCAAAAGTGCTCAAAAGGCCACCTAGCCCATTTCCCTGCCTCCCGGAAAGACTGAAGGCAACCCAGAAAATTAGAGATAGGGAAGAATGGGGAGGGTTAGCTTGTTCCCTTCCATTTAACCAGGTTTAAGTAGAACTGCTCCATCCTAAGTGGCTCGAGAATGCTTGCTTTTCAAGGGTTTTTAGAGCTACTTAAGGACTGGATTAAGTGTAAGCCAACCTGTGGCCATGAGTGTATACTAGTTAGTACGAGGTCTTTGTTATTAGTTATTCAGTCACTGGAGCAACTGACAGCCTCTCCCCAATGTACCTTCCAGTTTGTTGTTTTCTTTGCCTTTTTCCTTTTTCTCCTTCTTGGATTTCTTCCCAAATGGTTCCTCAGCCCCAGTGCTGGGCCCAGAAATGGATCCAGCTCCCTGTATAGTTCCCACAGAGCTGGCCACACCATAAGTCAGGGGCAAACTGGAGCTGTGGGAAGGAGCTGTGGCCTGTACTTCCCCTTCTGTTAGAGCCTGAAGCTGGAGAAGCTTCTTTAGCAAGTACCTGAGGTCAGGAAGGAGAGAGAGCACAGGTATGAACTTAGTTTTATCTCAGTTCAGTATTTTACAGCATTTTACTCAAGTACTGGGAAAAGCCAGAACTATAAAGGTCACTAAACTCACAAAAATAAGGTTCTTCTCGGACCCTGGGAATAACTAAGCTCCAAAGGATAATACCTCAAGAGATGAAGGATAAGGACTGAAGCCTATCTCCTGTCTGGGGTTCCTATATCTTAATGTTGGAACGTGAAGGGCAGACACATAGTATATGACTATATACCCGCTAAGTTTTCCAGAGTAGTATGTACTGCATGAATATTTGTAGACTTGGAGGCTAATGTTTTATACCTTGACTTTTATAATTGGGGAGTTCTAGTAAGATTACCTATTAAATGTGGCAAGAGGACTTTTTCTGAAAGATGAATAGGGGGGCTGTCTTATCACCATCGTCCAAAATGACTTTAGTGAATAGGAACCAATACCAGAGGTTGTGCATTTACTTGATCAATAACCGATGGGCTTTACCATGCATGAAAGTCCCACTGGATAAAATTCCCAGGGAGTAGCACCATTATCAGTTACCAAAAACGTCATCTGAACACAAAATGAAGCCAGCTCACCTTCTTTCTTCTTTTGCTTTGAGAAATTTTTCCTCAAGACGAGCAATTTCATCACAAATAGCAGCATTTTCCTTTAAGAAAAATTTTTAACATAATCACATAAAATGAACGAAAGATCTAAGTATTGTGCTGGGAAGAGGTACTCTATTTCAAACCAAAGAAGTCTGTGTTGCTGGGTGAGAAGGAAGAACTAGTCTACTTTGCAGACAAAATATAAAAAATATAGAGTCCATTCCACTATGGTCAGGGCAGTTACATAATTTATAGAAATCAGGGTACCTTTGAAAGAAAGGGGATGCTACTAATGATCATGCTAGAATAATACAGCTATGTGATGGTTTCCTAGGTGAACTAAGGGGAACTGCCAACTTAATTAGGAGTTTTTCCCACAGAAAAGGATACCCTGCTTCAATCCAAAGATGCTTATATTCAATGTTTATAAATAGGAAAAATGTCCATTCCCAAGTGCCTTGGCTCTTGGAGCACTTATAAGACCAACTTAAGCCAAAGGATCCCATGCACTGTGGACCTTTTTTTTTTTAAAGATTTATTTTTTATTTATTTATACAAGCATTGGGTACAGTCAGAAGCGCGGGAAGGTGAGAGAATTCACCAGAGCCAGAGCGGGGAGCAGAGCAGGCAGAAGGACTGAAGTACACTGCTGAGGGGAGCAGTGGGCGGCAGGAGAGGTCTGCGCGCCATGTGGGACCCTACTCCGGTGGCCGGGGAGCAGCCAGGCATCGAACCGGTGCATCAGAGGCTGCGGGCAGCTTTGCAACCCAGCGCTCAACCGCTGCGCCACCGGGGAGGCCCATGCACTGTGGACCTTTAAGAGAAAAGCTGGAAAAAAATCAACTCTGGTGTGTAATCTTCAACTTTACTTATGTTATTTCAAGCATCATCTCTCTTTACTGATGACCCAATCTCCCAAGCAACAATCAACCTGAAAGGAATGTTCCAATCTGTTCTATAGGTAGGATCTCAATCTCTCAATGTTCGAACAATAGCTTTTTTCACAAGACCTTCATGCTCTTGATGGAACCAACATCAGCCTAATAAGGTAGGCTCCAACAGTGGACTGTGGTGATGGTGCACGGGTGCACTGAAGGAAATTCTATGGGGACTACACCTGAGAAGGGGAGGAGGAGCATATATTGTCTAAAAATGAACAATGATGTAAAAAATAAATAAAAAATAAGGTAGGCTCCAAACTTTAGGTACCTTTGACATGTGGGGGAATAAAAGAAAGGTAACGGTTAGATAACAAATCCTCTTAATTCCACTTTCCTTATTTCCAAGGATGTAGTGGGTGTTAAACTCAATGTTTTTGGAATGAAAAATTTCCTTATACTTCCACCAAAACCGTGAGATGTGCAAGGTTTTGACAGAGAGGAAATCTGTGCATTCAGGTGCGGGAGTATATGGAGGGCTCCACTGCCTGTTTCCAAGCACTGAGGCAAGCTTGAGCAGGCCAGAATAAGGCAACACAAAGTTGTGACTGGCAAAACAGTTCATTCATTTAACAAACCCGTTGCCTCTACAATAAAAGAATGGCATTAGACTTGGGAGACTCAAAGATTAGAAGGGGGCAAATTATTGAAAGCTTCACGTGCTTATTTCGGGAAGGGGCCAGTAAAGGGTATGCCGAGCTTGGGAAAACAGCTCTGAAGAGGAAGAAAGAATACAGTATCAGGCTCAGGACCTCTGAGCAGGAGTCAGGCCTGACCCAGTGCCCTTGAGCAAGTCATCTCTCTGGGATTCTGTGCTGTCATTTTATAAACAGTGCTGCTTTCTCAAGGTTATCTCAACAAATCAAACGCCCTACCAGAGAGTTCGTGTTAATTACAATGACGACAATTTATTGGCACCCCTAGGTACCAAGCGGGTTACCTCTCTCCTTTCACCTTCACAATCCTGCATTGTCACTTACACGTAAGGATTACAGAAATCGCGTCATTTGCCTACAAGGAGGAATGGATACACTATCTTAACACTGTCACTCGGGGGGGGGGGCACAGTTTGGGGGGTGGGGGTTAGATTTCGCGAATGAGGAGAGCGTCCAGGCAGAGAGGGGCCGGGCGACGGTCAGACTCACAAACACCGTGGCCTTGGCCGCCTTGCGCAGCCGCAGGTACTTGAGCCGGTACTTCTCGTTCTGGCTCTTCTTCGGGAGCTTTTTCATCCTGGCCTTGCCGGCCTGCGGCGGGGCCCGCGGGGAGAAGGCGAGGCCGCCCAGCAGGCTCATGGTCCGGCCCCGCTCCCGGGGCTGCAGGGCGCGGCCGGCATCGGCTCTGAGCCGCTGGGCGGGCGGGACCCCGGCTGCGTTTGGCCTGCGCCGGCCTTTAGGTGCCCACCCGTTCAGAACGTCCCCGGGGCGGCAGCAGGGCCAGGGAGCTCGTAACCGAAGCCGGCGGCCGGCGTCTCCCGGCACTTCCGCGTGTGCTCGGAAGTCAGCCCTGCCCGGAAGTTGCGCAACGGGGCGGCCGCGTGTAACTTCCGGGGTTGCGGGCGTGGGATGGATTCGTCCGGGCCGAGGGGTGACCGCCTGGAGGGAAGGGCGGGCGGGAGGCTAGTCGTGGTCGGCGAGAGTGGGGTGGAGGGTTAGTGGGTGGGGGGGAGGTTAGGGGGTGGAGGGCTGGAGGGTGGGGGGAGGGGGTGGGGGGAGGGGGTGGGGGGCCCGGAGCGGCCCTGGGGCCCCGAGTCTTGTGCTGGGCTAGCAGGGCTGTGCTGAGCGTGGGACTCCAGCGAGCGAAACTTGAGCGCGAGGTCCATGCACGCGCCCTCCTGCCCACTGCGTTTCCACCCCAGTTTTTCCTCCAGGCGCAGACTGGCCTTCCCGACTTGGCGCGCGCCTGAGCTCAAGTGCTCCACTGCTCGCCTCCTTCTGCAGCCAGTTTGCATAAATGTTTCTTCAGGCATGTTATGCAATCGTCCCGAGACAAAAATGTGAATGACAAAAAGGCGTCCATCCCCCCACCCCGGGTTAGAATTTAGTAGGAAGGTGGAAGAGTTAGCAAGGAATTTAGAGCATTTTAGCACTGTGGAAGCACTCAGTAAATGTTTGCCTAATGATTGCAAGAGGAAGTTTGTATACCTGTGTTTGTGTAGTTCTAACTGTAGTTAAGGCTTATCTAAAATCGAGTAAAGATACACGGTCTTTAGGATGCAGTATTGATAAATGCTCTCATCTGGAGAGCAGAAAGCTTTTATTCGTTCTTCCAGCCATGCCATTAACTAGTTGAGACAGCCTCTGGATCACAGTGTTTTCTTAAAACCGAAGACATTCTTTAGAATAATGGAGGTGAATGAGAAGTCTGCGCTGTTAAGGTACTTCACGGATAGAAAGTATAATTACTGTTACGTATTTAAAATTTATCCTTCTAGAGATGTATATAGAAATTAAGGAACAATATTTACATAGCTAAAACAAGTCTACTGAAGTACTGGAGAAAAATCTAATGCTAGTTACAGAATACAAAGAAAGGGTTTAGAATTCATGATTAAGGCTTTTCCATTTCGGAAAATTGTAAAAATAGTGACAGTCTTGACAAGATGGTTTTGACAAAGAGAGAAGGCTCTTGAAAGTCCTTCCAACCATGTTTTGAGCTGCTCTTGTTGGACTTGACAAACTGGGTTTTAATTTTAGGACTTTAGAGCAAATCCTTTTGTGTACTTTTACAAATACACTCAAGGGAGCCATAGATTTAGTTTTGGAAACTGCCAGGAATATTTTCAACCTACAAGATATCCATATTCTCATGCCTTTGATAATATGGTTTGGTTTTGTAACTTGGAACTTGACTATAGTTCTCAATGATAGGAGGATACTTTGTTTAAAAAAACAATACCTTACTTGTCAACTGCTTGCTTTATTTGCTGTCCAGCTGTAATTTGTCTTTGCAGGCTTTGTGGTCTGACTTTTTCATTATTCCTCTTCTTGTATGTGTATAGTAGCTAGTAGGAGGGAAGTGCTATTGTTTGCCTTTGCAAGCTAAAGAGGCCAATTTATTTAAGTGGAAGTTGCATTAAAATGTTTATTGTTTCTTCTTTATTAGAAACACTTCCTTAACTCATAAAGCATTTCATGCAAATTTTAGAAATTTAGAAAATATAGGACAAAGAAGATTTTAGAAAGTCCATAATACTCCCTGGAGTGACCCACTTTCAACATGTTAGTATTTAATATTTGCATACATTTTTATATAATGTAGATTATATTGAAAATAATGCTTCATTTTTGTTCACTCACTGTTATTATAGTCATTTCACAGCATTATTATAACATTTTTATGAACATTTTCAAATGGCTGCTTAATATTCTAGTTATAACTTTCACAAAATTATTTCCATGTTGCTTGACTTTGTGGTCATCTGTTGCTGCAAAGTGCATCTTTGTGCACAAAACTTTTTCCATACAGGATTATTTAGAAGCCGGGTCTGTGTGCGCCAAACGTGTTATTACTGAGCATCTCATTCAGTCACTATATATTCAGAAGAATATCTATTTAGTGCCTGTTATGACACAGCCTTTTGGAAATATATTTAATAGGGAAAGACTTGCAAATAAATGGGCAGTATTAATGTTAGGGGGAAAAGGATGTCCTAAAGCTAATTCCATACAGGCTTTGTGGACTCCACCCCCACCCCAGGCCAAAGCCAAAGACACTGGGAGCTCCAAATCCCATCACCACCAAAGGGAAGGTGGCTGGGACCTGAGGGTGGGGTTAAGCAGCCAAGTGAGTATAAAGACAGACACGTGGGCTTTGGGGGGGGGGGTCCCCCATTTTGGCTCTCCACCAGCTCGCAGCATCCGGCCAGCTCTGAGAGTGACTTTGGGTTTCCAGGTTGGCGGATCGGGTAGGACGCATTCAAGACTTTATTTCCCTATTTTCTCCCTGAGTTGTACATTTTCCTTATTTCCTTTTCCCTTGTAAATAAACCTTTTATTAACCTTTTGTGTGTGTCTGTAGTGGAGTATTCATAAGTCCCTTTTAAGCACGCGGGTGAGGACCCACAGCGAGGAACCCGTTCAATATCGGGGCTGTCCTATAACATTAATACAGTTTAGTAAGTTTTATCTCAGAGGTAGATAATGGATGAGACCTAGTGCGCTTTATGGTGACCAATGCAAGAAAAATTACTTTGGGCTGGTCAACCACGGGTGAAGCTTGGAAACCACGTTGGGCACCAGCTGTTATAGGGCAGCCCCGATATTGAACGGGTTGCCTGGCTGTGGGTCCTCACCTGCGCGCTTACAAGGGACTTAATGAATACTCCACTATAGGCGCACACAAAAGGTTAATAAAAGGTTTATTTACAAGGGAAAAGGAAATAAGGAAAATGTACAACTCAGGGAGAAAATAGGGAAATAAAGTCTTTAATACGTCCTACCTGATCCACCGACCTGGAAACCCAAAAAGCATTCTCTGAGCTGGCCGGACGCTGCGAGCTGGCGAGAGTCAAAATGGGGGATCCCTCCAAAGCCCACGTGTCTGGCTTTATACCAACCTGGCTGCTTAACCCCACCCTCAGGTGCCAGCCACCTTCCCTTTGGTGGTGATGGGATTTGGAGTTCCCAGTGTCTTTGGCTTTGGCCTGGGGTGGGGGTGGAGTCCACAAAGCCTGTATGGGATTAGCTTTAGGACATCCTTTTCCCCCTAAAAATATCACCTGGTTAGGGAAGGGGAAGGAGATAGGGAGGTTTCTTGAAGGCATATGTCTGGGTAGACCCTGAAGGAGAGCAAGTGTTTGGCCCAGGGAAGAACAGGGCATCTGGGGCAGTGGGCAGCATATTCAAAGCCCAATTTTATGAGAAGCATAGGAACTGTGATTAGGTGACTGACTAGAGTATAAGGAAAGAGGCAAGAAGAGAGACTGAAAGAGTCGACAGACTTGGTCATAGGTACCAAACAAAGAGTTAGGCTTTTACCTAGTGAAAATAAAACCGCATGCCAGCCCATGTGTTTGTTTTAGGTAAATGTGTCTGAATTTGTCAGGAGCAACATCATTTTTCTACTGACCTATGTGAAGGGTTTAATTGGCCTCTCCAAAATTCTCTGAAGAAATACGTAATGTGGAACTCTAAAAAGAAATATCAAGTGAGAGACAGCATGGTATTGTGGGCTGAGTGTGTCCTTTGGAGTCAGATCCAAGGCTTGGGAATTAACTGTAGACATAGTAATGGGAGTTAGAAGCTAAGATGGGGTGAAAGTCCAAGAAGAGAGAGGGGGTTCAACAGCACTGCACTGCCTATCCTGGTTATTCTTAGTGGTCACTCTTCAGTGATTGCTATAAGCAGAAGTGTAACATCCCCTGGGATACTAAAAGCACACTTGAGCCCATTTAGAATTGTGAAGGAGCCCACAGTCCATAAAATTCCAGTCCTTGATGTGAGTCTCTGCTTTAGACTTGAGGTGGGGAACCTCAAGTCCCCACCCATAATTGATGCATGATCTTGGCCTTGTTCTATGCTGTCCTAACCCCCAAGAGCAGATGGCAAGTTCTTGCCATCAGGAAATTCACAGGCCGCAGAGCGCCTGAGCAAAATTAATGACTTTCACAAAGCAAATGAAGGAAATTTCTGGGATGTCAGACCACACAAAAAGGTTTTCACATTTTTTATTCTTATGCTAAATTGCCCTACTTGGGATAAGCTGTTTATGCATTCTAGAAAGGCCAGGGAGTAAATATAGTGAGTAGAACCTGCCTCCATAAATAGCCTTTAGAACCTTCTTTCCTTGTAGAGTATCTAGACTTAGTATTTTTTTCCTATTCCCACAGAGTGCTCTAGACCTAATTTTTCAGTTCCTTGACTCTGAGGTTCCAACTTGCAGATTTGTTTCTATACATTGATTCTATCTTCTCACCTTTAGGAAAACATGATACAGGATGTATGATTCAATTGAATCCCACCTTAGCCACTGGGCTTTTTTTATGTATTAGTGTGAGACTTGTGAGGGAGGAGAGAGATCTGGGCTTTGCATAAAAATTCTTAATGCATATTTTCTTAGCTATGGGTTTTCATCACATACTCGGTGGGTGAGATGTTTAGGTTTTGAGGGTTCTAAGCCAGCCAATAAAGTCATGAAATCGACCACTGTGTCGATGTTGTGCTTCTCAGAGGTTGTATCCTTCAACACACATAAGACACTCAACCAGCTAAAAGAGATGAGCTCAGATATGTTGGCTCGGAGAAAGAGAAGGATCACGTTGAGATCATTGATGGGGCACCCCAGCATCTTCCTGCTGAGAAGATCAAAAGCTGGGAGCATCTCATAAGTGGATAGGAGTCGTTTGTCCCACCGACAGAGCCGTGTGAGGTTGTATATTATCACAGGAACCAACAGGGTGTATATTGCTACACTTGTGAGACTCACAATCTGGAAAACAGACAGGGAGGTCAACCGGCACGTGATCAGCTCAGGAATGTGGCTCT